TTATTATTATCATCTGGTCGTAGAGTACATGATCTTACTCTTTTGCATGTGGATGAACTTCACTTTGTAGATAATATTAATTCGATAACCTTGCATCCCATTTTCTAAGACGGACTCTTCTTCGTACCAACAATTTAGCTGGACATTTTTATCCTAACCAGACAGGAGCATTGAGGCAGTATATTGGTTACTTACTTAAGTAAATCTGACTCGGAATACGCGAGGAAGTATAACAAATTTATTTTTAGCGACTATAACTCCTAGAAGGCCAGTGACTGCAGCAATTATTGGGGTTTGGATAAAGAAACTTTTAGCTGAAGCCGGTTTTCAGGCACCAGCTGGAAGTTGTAGATCAGCAGTCTCTCCTTTAGATTGGGCAGAAAATTACCCTATTAATGACATTTAACCAAAGCTGCATGAAAGTACCTTTAGAAAATTCTATCTAAAAAGTATACAAGATACTACAGATATCACGTAAGAAAAGACTCTGTCTCAATATCTTCAGCCTGATCCATAATTGATTTTTGTAAAAATTAAGTTTTTAATTTTACAATATACTTCTAATCACATTGTTGCACTTAAATATAAACATTTGTACATATGTATACATATGTGTGTATAAATATGCCACCAGGAGATAACAAACAAACTCTCACAATGGACTTCGGACGTCAAACGGAACGCATAATATAATATTTTAACCTTAACAATAAAATTTGTATTATGCTTCCAAGACGTCCGAAGTCCCAGTAATGTCTTCCTGGTGCTATGTCATTACGAGCCTAACAATGAAGAAATTGGTGACTTGTATTTAAAAACCAGATTATGGTCGCACTGGAAGTGACAGAAAGGATGGTCAGTAATCAGTTACCATCCATTAGCAGCGAGCCAACATCTAGCGGCCAAGCGAGGCGAAGACTGCGACGTACTCCCAAAATGGACTTCGGACGTCTTTAAGCATAATACAAAGTTTATTGTAAAAGTATTTTTTTTATGTTCTATTCGAATCTATTTACGTCTCATTTTGATGTCAATTCTATACCGGTATGAAATGAAAATACAAATGCGACGTCCAACTAAATAAACTGAAAATCGGTAAATTGATAAGTGTTTTGACTATTTTAAAATAGAACAGATCAATATGTACTTTTGTTAGCTTAACTGTATATAGGTCAGTTTATCGACCCATTAGATAACAAGCCATTAATAGTTCGCTGTGAGTGCATTAGAACGACCATAAAATCAAAAGTTTGTACCGTCCCCTTACACAACATACTACTGACCCAAGCTTTAAATAGCTATGGCGAAATAACTATTACATACTAGCTTTAGAGTTAATGCAATACCATGCACTGTTCAGTAAAATTGAGATGTCAATGCTTGTTAGTTTAAACCAATGAAACTTAACTTGCGTTAATTATACTTTGCTGATTACTGAAATCGATTTTTTTACTCCATTTTTGTTCCTAATTTAATTAAACTTTAAAAAATATCAAAGATAAAAATTATTTATGTAATATGTATTTACTCTTATAACTATTTTATTCTTTTATAGGTCCTTTTTATAAATTTGAAGAAAACGCACGAGAAGGTTTTCAAACTTTTAAAACATCAACTAAACTGGAAGTTTTCCGGTTCTAATATTTTCGTTTCGTCGTTCAAAACAATGTTACTGGTAACGCTTGTGAGACTTAAAAATTACACAATAAAAGGTTCCTACACAGTTATACTAAATTAATTAAATATTTTTTGTCTCCAAAATACTAATCTACTCTTAGTGATAAAAAATACTACAATAGTACTACATGATTCTATTATCAAAACAGCGTGCATTGCTCAAATAATCGTGCATATACAAAGTAATTTCATTCATAGTAAAAGAGAAAAAAAACAAAAACGATCTAGGTCTAATTGGCCGAAGCCGAAGGAAAAAGGCACACTAATACCACACAAAACGACATGCTAGAAAAATATTAGAAAAAAATGCTTAACTCCTAAATTTTAAATGTATAAAAAGAGAACCCAGTAACTACGTGCTTCAATCGAATGCAAGGTTAAAGGGACTTGTTGGATTGGTAGTAGCCACTTTTGTGAGTTTTGTGTTTTTAGTGAATTTTATTCTTAAAATGTATTCTATTTGCCCAATTTATACCATGTGCTGACTATAAATAAAATTAATGTGAACATTTATATATTTTTTTATAACCATACAGGAACTGAAGTCTGCAAAATATACAACAAATTTAATACATGTTTTAAAACACGGAACAAAATGATGTATTTATTGTGACTAACTTATTATTAACAGGCTTTAAATGGAGGCCGTGACACGGTTTCGGTTAAGTCAAGTCAATATTGGTGGTTTTTAGCGCGTGCCAACACAGAGTTGCGTCTCAACCGTTTCAACCAAATAAACATAACCACAGTTTTTACTATACCGTTACGGAATCGGTTCAAGAATAAGAAAAACATTGTTAGTGTGAAGTAATGATACGTACATTCCAACTCATGGCGCAAATAATAACTCATTTACGTCCTGTTACTTCTGACAATTATTTATGTTGTAAAGTTTTTATTTTATTACTAATATATCCTCATCACAACTCCATAGAGTTCGGAAATTGGTTCGGAAAAAGTAAACTGTGCATTTACGAGGTCCCAACTACTTCCACAAAATTTGACTAATAATAAAGGAATTAAACAGTTTTAGAACGTTCAAAACATTATATCTATGTATAAAATAATGTATTGGATATGTTAAAAATGTTTGTTAATAATTTTATTTAAATATAATTACTATGTTTTTTAAGATTATATTATATGTATAGTATTATATTTTATTATATAAATTTTATTATAATTGAAACATTTTAAGGTTAAGAAAGGGTAACTACAAATATCCTCAGAATGAATGAGTCTCTTATGAGAAAATCTCTTTGCACAGATCGATAGATTCTAAAGAAGCATACTTCTTGATGTACGTATAGATACTTGTAAACAGTATTTTGTCTAGTGTACAGATTTTAATATATTATTTTTAATCCTAAGTTTCAATAGGAAGGCGTATTTCTTCGTATTTGTTTACGATAATTAATGTCCTTTATACTTTTTATTTATAAAAGAAAAAAAAAACAATGTATTTTAATATATTTTAAATATGTTTTTTCTTATCAAGCGGAAGCAACAAATAACCAAAACAAAGTCCTATTTAAAACGTTGAAGCGGACCTTGCATAATTATACTCCACACCTGTATTTAATAGAAAAACATATTGCTCTTAAGTTGCTCTGCTTATGCTAAAACAACAACGAAGTTATATAATCAGCCAAATTTACATTAAACAGTATATTTCCTATTTAAATTTAATGTGTTGGTTATTTTACTAAAAATATTTAAACTTATAGTACCCAGGTAGATCTTTATGTAAAAAAAATATTTCCTAAGTTTTATAAAGAACTATTATAACGAACAGGACAATGTATACATAAGATAATATTATTATTTTTTACTAAAATTATCGCTTTTAGCAGTAAAAACGTTTTTTATGGTAAGAGCTGTTATTGCGTGTGCAAACCAGCATAAACCTCAAGGAAATGAGCGGTTAGCAACCCTACTTTTTCCTTTGAGCTCTATTTCCGGCTTCTACCTGGATAGCCTCCTGTATTTAACTCAAAACGATTTCATATTGAAGGGTGCCGTCGACGGAATCCTCTAGGTTTGTGATTATTACACCAATTTTCGATTGCAATTTTTAATCGAAATTTTGAATATAATATTTTCAAACATCATTTATTTTAACTATATAACATTAATAAAGCAACTAGACTTCTGAGTATAGGTATTTTTATAAGGATATCCATATATGAAATTTTAAAAAGGAAATAATAATATATAGTATACGTTAAGTCACAAATATGCATTTAGTACTTACCGGACTTATAATTTGGAAAATGATACAGATAGTAATAAGAAATTTATAAAGAGAACTTTAATTAATTATACAAAAATTGAGCCCTTATAAAAACAGAACAAATTATGCCGATATTGTTTGGTCTAGCAGTAATATTCGATTGGCAGACAAAGAAGAAATAAGTAAATAGTTGATGCAAAAAAGAATGTCGTTAACAATTTTAAGGAACTTGAAAGAGTCCTATAAAAGAGTCCTTGGACTATCTATTACACTGTTGAATAAAGGCGATAAAACCAGCTGGATCTCGTTTCTATTTAACAAAGCAGTTGTGTGACTGCAAGAGGTCAGCGTACGCTGTTGAATGGAATGCAATATTACCTTACAATATCTGGAACATGAAGTGCCACTTTAAAAACTTATCAACGTAACGTAACAATTGATACTAAAAGAAAATTATATTCGTACAAATTGTTTTAACGTATAATATAAGAAGTAACTTTCAACGCATCTTTAATAAGACTTTATACAGAACTCTGTAACTATGTATTTCTCAGACAATCAATAGGCAAAATAAATTAATATATAACATGAGGAATGCCTCATTATTAATTACTAACAAAACTTCAGCTATTTATACAAATGTATGTCCCTCAAAAAATACACCTTTAATAACTCTTATTCTTTGTGTGATAGAAATTTCATTTACATTTTTTTTTTTCATAAGCAAAAACATCAGACGAACGAGAAAAAAGGGTTTTGTTGGCATAAAAACTATCTCTAAACTTTCTCTTTAATTTTAATTATACGCATGGAAAAATTACTAAACAAAAGGTAAATTCTAGCATAAGTACGTTAACGGCACGTAGGTCTCCCCAACTCGAGTTAACTACGCCGCGCTTCAGATAAGAATATCAAATTTCAAACCCCGTGCTAAAATATGCAATATTTTTAGGTATACATTTACTTTATATTGATGTTACTGAATAAATTACATATTTATCGTTGTGTAACTGCGGTGTGTTAATGGAAGTGTGTGTTTTTGAAGTGTTAAGTCAGCGGCTACGACCAATCCCATTCATCCCTTAGATACCTGAGTGGTATCTCTTCTCATTGTGTGTAACGCGTCGATGTGTCCGACGGTTCCTTGTATGCTGTCGGCTGCTGCCACCGTCGCCACGAGGCCCGCGTATCGGTGGATTGCCTGCTGTGTAATATACTCTTACATGTTACCGACACACTCTTACATGTTAACTCTTAATTTGCCCTTAATTAAAAACCATTTTCTCTTTAAGGCTATACTAAAATTATTTTTCTATAAAAATAGATAGAAGTCGATCGCAAATTACAAAAGTATAAAAACAGACACTGAACTTTTAACCTTTTAGATGTCTTAATCGATGACCTATTTTTAATGAATAAAAAAATTTAATGTTTGTTTGTATAAAAGAAACTATTAAAGCGTAAGCGCTAACGCTTATTGTCAAACATTTAGATGTGCAACAGTTTGTCATAAAGTTCGTTGACCTAAGCGTCTGATAAGGGCCGAGGTGAGGACGTTATCAGGTGTCGCATTGCAGGCCCGAAATTGTTAGACCGAAAGCCAACACTTTGAGTTGTGCGATCGATACGCTGGGAAACATTATAGGGCATTTTGTTAGCTAAAAATAAAAATTATTCAATCTACTGTCATCAAGCGGCTAACACTTGTCAATATTTTTAAATCGATTTTTGCTTGGTACTCGACGCGTCGAATAATTGAAATTATAATTTATTCAATAAACCACCGAAGTTATTGATTTTTAAGGTGTTGAATTTCAAAAGGTAAAGCTGTATTGACAAAAATTGTGACAAAAACTGTTACAATTACTGCTTTTACCCAATATCTTTGACATACACTAAGCAAAATATCATAGAAAATTGTACATCACATATTTTTTTATGTCATTCATTAAGGTACACTAAGTAGAGAACAGGTTAAGGGGAGTAAGTAATAAAATAATAAATTACTCATAGCTTTTCAAATATAAGCTTATAGTTAGCTTCAAATACGACTTGTTACCCATGCATTAAAAACATAATATATACATTAATAACATACCAAGCTTATCACTTATATCGGAAACTTTTGTCCAATTTAAGTGTATTAACATCATTATTTTAGAAAAACTCTGGTAATTACTGTGAAATATAGACAGCATTAAAAAAATATATATAACATAATTGAATTCACCTATATATTTTTTATGCATAACGTACTGAAGATAGTTACAGATCGTTTAGGCTGATAATACATAAATAATATAGTATGTATACTACATTAATACATACTAAAAGGGTCACCTATATTTGTTTGAAAACAGGTAACTTGGGAAAATTAATAAGTAATGTAATAGAGTCCCGTATTTATCATCAGAATATAAATACATATATTTAAACCGGTCTATTACTAGTAACCAATAAGCACAATATTTAATTTGAAAAGACATCATTAATCATGGGGATACCTCACATCTTTTTTTTTTTAAATTGACCTGTTATCACAATGCGATTCAACTGTATTTGGTATTTGTATTTTATTGAACTAAATATAAGTTTCCATTATGTTTTACTGAAACTATCGCTAGAAAGCCTCTATGGTCAGAACATGTAAACCTGACGCTAGCCGGAGGTAATTATGATGGTTAATTAATGAAACTCCTCTTACATCAGTCCAAATTTTGTATATACCTCATTACGTGTCTTACAACATCCGGCCAATATTATTAATGGCAAGAATTTTTTTATTATGAGAGAGCTAGCACAAAAATTATCTATTTATGAGTGCTAACTATTTAATATTAATATTACGTGCCGTTACGTAGTGTTGCAACCTAGTGATAAAGTGTGGTTGACGTGCGTGTGGCCACCTTCTAATTAACCCTTAAACGATACCAAAACTAGAGTAGGTACATGTAAAAAAATATAAATTATCGCAATCGACGAACGCTGGACCTCGTTTGTTTATTAATTTAAATTTACTACGATATATTTTTTATGCAGCGCTAAAGCGAAGGTCGACCTCATTATTTTAACGATTTCTACGACCAAGTAAAACAGCTTCATCGCGACTACCATTTGTAATTTTTTATTAGTTCTAACGTTATTTCAGATGATAATAAAGTGTTTTTTGCATTATAATATCTTTATGTGATATCTATAAGATCTCTCTATATATCTAAATTGTTCTGTGTAAAAATAGTACTGGTTCAACGTACTCATGGTCGAGTTCTATATTCATACAATCGGAGAGCAGATTTAAGATGGCCTCGTCAGTTGACCCTAGTTGGGGAAATGAAACTTAAGGCAAATATAAAATCGGGTTTTGATATTTTAGCAAAGTCCAGCATTCATCGACGACGATTAATTGACACTTGACCCCAGCGACGCTTCTTGTGACCTTGTGCTCATACTGGAGACATTTTGTTTAGAAGATGACGGCACCAATAAGGCAGGAGTAGATTCATAATTAGAATTTGGAAGCGAAGCCAGTATTCATGGGTCAAGAATATAACCTTTTTATTAGTTCAGGCAATTGTGTTAAAAGCATTTATTTGCAAAAAAAAAATATTGCTAACCTTGAGGCTGATGTTGGGCAATGTAGGGTGAAAGAAGTCGAGTGCGTTTCTTCTCATATCCTTTTTGTGTTATGTCACCTGTAATAATAAGCAGATTTAAGTGGAAAGCTGTTTACATACTTAACATAAACCACAAAATGATTCTGCGTAAACTTTCAGAGAGTACTCAAAGACCATTGTACATACCATATAAAACAGAAATTTACTCGTAATGGAATGGAAATACATATATGGACAAAGATTAACAAATTTGTTCACAAACTTTTTTGTTATCAGTTCATCTTAATTATAATTAAGAATATTAAATACTTTTATATTAGTTTATTATATTACGGCATATACACTTGAATCATATATATAATAAGAAAGACAGTCATTGCATTCGCTATATAATTATTATTTTTTTCAATAAAATGTTTATTTAAGGCAAGTCACTTAATCGTGTCGTTTAGGAGTTAACGATACATGTAAACAAAAATAAAATTGTTATAAATGAAATATAAATCAATTAATTTTATCCCTAATTCAATAAAATCGTAAGTGAGCACTGGTCAATTAAAATTAAAAACTCATTCAACATAAAACCAAAATAGAGAACTTGAAGTGATCGTTCAAAACTAAATGAATGATTTATGAACTTATTCGTACCGTTAGATCTAAAATAATTGTATTCTACTATATTCATAAAAAAGAAAAGAACTTTTATTTTATTTCTTACTTAGATAATATTATATGATAACAATGTTAATATAGTACTAGCATTAAATAGAATATTCATTTGCTGACATTGCGAATTGTAAAAAATGTTTACTAAAATGGAAGATATTTTATTATTTACTAGTTTTTGCCCGCGACTTCGTCCGCGTTAGTTTCGTCATTAGTAATATAGGTATAGCTGACCGGGCAAACTCTATTCCGTCTTCGATAACCCGGTATTGGTATTTATTAAATTTTTACTGTTTCAATCGAACAGAATGATTGACATCTTAGTTAGTTGTCAAGTCTAATGTGAAAAAATCGTTTGTATGGGAAATAGAAAAGGGCTGTTTTTAGGATTTTTCCGGCAATTTTTCCAATTTTTCTCACCTTTTAAACCTTCCCTGGACTTTCAGGAGTATTTCAAGACTAAAATTAGCCAAATCGGTTCAGCCGTTCTCGAGTTTTAGCGAGACTAAGGAACAGCAATCCATTTTTATATATATAGAAGATCATTTTACATACACAACGTCGTCTTCTTATATATGCTACTGAGTTTTACAATTTTAAGGACCAGTATATATAATAATATAAAGTGATTTAAAATCTTATTAAAGATTTAACATACCTAATAGTTACATATTTGTGTATGCGATTTTGCGCTTGAAGTTATCATATTAACGATTCGATTAGATCACCTTATTTGGAAATGACAGATAATATAGATAAAGTTTGTCTGAATAGTGATTCATTTATAGATACATATATTTCTTTGAAATATTTTTACAAATCTTAAAAGTTGCATGAGGGTTTTTAAACTAAATAACTTTTAAATATTATCTCCAAAATAACCTTTAACATTTATTAATGCTGGTCTTACAAAAATGTTTTTACTGCAAATAGAAAAAAACAGCATAAAATGTCACAATTTTTTGCCATTTGATAAAACGTTTGTTTTAACTTTGATGAATAATTAAAGAAAAGGCTTTTTCAACCTGACTACACTGAAAAACTCTACAAAAAAAAATAGTTTATTACAAAATTAGCAATCGCCACTGATTGCAATCATTACAACCTATGACTATACCAAGACAGTCCGATGGGTCGGGAGACCTTACTTGCGATAATACAATTAGACCATTATTTTAAATTTGAATTTGTAAACCCTTTCACGAGCTGAATTATACCAGTTTCAAAAATCAAACCTTACAGTACGGCTAATTTAAGCTTAATCTCATGTAATAACGAAAACAATTTTTATTGTAATAAATTATATAAATATATACGACAATAAAAATATATTAGCTGAGCGATTTCAATTAATTGATAGAACTATATTAGTTCACATAAATAATTCAATAGTTCCTAGCGACCAATTGATCTTATTTATTTATTGGAAACCAAATAAATAAGTGGACTTATTGTTTAATAGATTCTTTTTAATAATTTGGGAAAATATGTACATAATAATTTTGTTACAACTTTTGTAGATTTAATATATTTTCAACAAAAAAATCTAAGAAATAATTTACTGGTACGGTAACATTCAAATTATTTACTTGTATAATATAAAACATTAGTAAACTTCGATATATTTTGATAGGCAGAAGGTAGTTGTTCCCTTTGAGATTTTTATCGTCAAAACCGGTTGGATAAAGAAGCAAAAACCAAAACATGACTGGATAAAGAAAAGATGAGGAAATTAGATTGACGTATACTTTCACAAAATCTTGTGATTGTTTGTTTAATGAAAATGCGAATGTTAGGACAACGGAACATTGCAGTTTAAAATCCTGTTTGTATTGATCAACTATAAAGATCTATGGGCAATGTTGATAATTTGTGTACTAAATAAATTAAATATACAAATCACTATAAATATATGTAATAGCAATAATAATGGCAGGCATTGCAGCGGTCGAATGCCATTCGTCGAATCTAATTGGATATTAACCTATTGACGTTTATAGCGCTAGGGTCTGAATTGTGCGCGCAAGCATCATGTGAACCAATTGATTTTATTAAAGTTCACTATCAATTGAAAGTAAATCAATTAAAATTTAACTTCTAAAAGTATGTATATCTTTAACACATAAGTATTTTTATACCCAAAAGTGTGAACATTCCTGACTAAAACGCGATCGGTGACTGTATGATGATTGCAATACTGCTGACGGATGTAATACATAATTAGAATTTTTAATAAAGTAACTTATATAATTTACAAAGCTTTGCAGGTTCCTTAACACTTAGTTTTTTATGTTTTCTCTCGTGGATGCATCCATTTATTACTCTTGATGTATATACACTTCAGCAGTGTAGACGTATGTGTAAAAATAATCTAAGTACTTTAGAACTTTATTCAAAAAATAGCCAAGCATTGGATATCTTTATTATAAGTTTTAAAAGAAGGACTGATGTAAAATGTTACACTATGACCTGTTTAAAAATGTTCATACTTCAAATTTTACAATCAATATAAAGAAAGCTAAACGCTTTAACTACTCGGTAAAGTATATCCAAGGAATATATATACTTTATTTAGACCATTAAAAAAATTCAAATTCAAATCAAAATCAAATTCATTAAAAAATCAATAGTAAAATACTAAAAAAGGATTGGTTCACGACTTTTGACATTATGTTTAGATGAACATCTTTAATTCAGCATTAATTCTTCAAAATAGCAAGAAATTATTCCAAAAAATTCACAGTAGTTATTAATTTTTTGGAAGTTTTATTGTTTGTCTAAAATATATAAGAATTTTATAACTTTTTCTAAATTCTCGAAATGTTAATTAGAAAAACGAACTTTATAACATTTTTTTAAATAGAACGGGAAAATTAAGATTACAGTGTAATAAATTGGTTGTTTTCCTTTAATATAACTTTTCCTGATTAAGGAATACTACGATTTGCTAAAGTACGAGTATGATCTTACTCAGACTAACACAGTGTCATGACATCAAACAGGTTTGGTTTGATGCGTCATGCGGTCTAGAAATGAAGAGCGTAAGCGGCAAAAATAATTATACCAAAAATCTGCTTTCGGGTCAGGGCGTTAGAAGAAGTTTAACTTATTATAAAATCTCCAAGCACAAAAAATAAATAACCTTTAATACTAACTCTTGACCTCAGGTATACACAATGTATATGCTACGTAAATGTTTACTCCCGTAATAATTCCTCTGTCATACAAATAAGTTTTATTAAAATTACTTCAGCAGATTCAAAGATAACACATATAGAAAGTGAGGCTTACAATAATTTTTAGAAAGATTGTTTATTTTTGATGTAACGTAACATTATCGTAAGCCGTGGAAAATACAGCTGTTATCCAAAACACACACACACATCACATTTATTGCTACGTACAAGATCTATGGACATCGTTAAAATATAAAGCGGGAGTCATTCGGTAGAGAAACCATTATTTCAATTCGTTTACTACGGACAATACAGATCCTATTTCGTTGCGTGCGCTGTGTGAACGTTTAAAGTTTCGCAAGTTTTCCTCTTCTATGGTAGTCACAAACAAACACTACTCACTACTGTTTTCAGACGTTTTGATACGAAAACCATACTATATACATATTACATATGTACTTCTATTTATTTTATGTGTATACAAGTTTTAATGCGTGACCCTTCCTCTAGGTAGTATAACGTTATCGTAAAAACACGATATTAAATGAAGTAATGGTAGACAAACATCTACGAAAAAATTAAAAAAACCTAGTTTTTGAGTTGCAGGATAATAAAGAATGTACCGGGAAAATATGCAAAGCAGAGTAGCAAATAGAAAAAAAGAGGAATATAAAAAATACATAAAGAAAAGGAATTTAAAAACGCAGTTTGGTGGAACTCCATCCTAACTGAATGTGCCTCAAGTGTAGATTGTACTTTAAAAAAAACATTGCGTGTTTCAATGTTTAGATTCTAGATTGGAAGCGACACAACTATTCATAAGAGCAAACTAATAATGTTATGTAATGAAGTTGTCTCTGTAATTAGTCACGTTCATTTATAATCATTCGACAATGGTTCAAATCAGATTCTCTAATTCAGGATGTAATCAAAAACGAACAATGTCTAGTGGAGCTCTGTTATAAGTATGTAATATGATAGAACTACGTTTAAGGTTCTAACTATGTCTATAAACATTACGTGTTCAGTCTCTACAAATTTAAAAATTTGGTTCCCAATGATTAATAAAAAAGTAAGTTTTGTTTGTCTCTTTACATTTTGAGCTAATTAAAAACTGTTCGTCTTTCTTTGTTTGTTACGAAATTTGTAACTACTAAATATATTGCAAACATATTATAAAATTCTTTCGTTTACATTACAATCCTCTAAAAAACTAAGAGCTTAGTTACGAAATAAAATCGCGGACTGAAATTACTAATTACACAGTTGAACAAATCTGGGAATAGCCAGATTCCAAGTGAAACTATTATTTTTGAAAAAGGTGCAAATCCATGAGTGGAGAACAATATACAAGTTCGTTGGATCTAATAATTAAAAAGGCCTTGTTTCTAGCACAAGAGCTCAAATGCGTAAGCTATTTATGCCGGCAAGAATAACTTCTTTAATAAACATCAGAAAATTCAAGTTTGAACAAACTCGCTCTGTAATCTTAGCTCCATTGAAGACCAGGATCATCCAAATTAGAAGAGAATCAAAGAGATTAGCTGAAGCCTCGTATTCGTCAATATAAGGTTTCATTTACCTGCCCAAGAAGTTCGCTGCACCTTGCTTTATGGAAGATATTTTGTTGGAAAATGTACTTTTAAGTGAATATGTCGTTTATTTAAACAATTAGCGATTCTATCTAGAAAGGTGCATTCCTAAATTTATGCCCTGTTAAACCTATACTTAGTAAGAAATTACCAAGGGGGATGGATAAGGAGTGAACAAGGTCTTCTAGAATATTTCTTAGCTGGTGAAATGGAGAGTTAAATAATTCAGAATTTTTTAGGAAACACCATTACATAGATTATTTATTTATCAGATATTATTGATCAGGGGTCTCATAACACATTCTAGGGTAGAATTGTTCCATGTAAAGTGTAAGTATAAAGCATTGTGGATATGATATATGCATGGATTGCTAATTTCATATTACAATTAATAATAAAATTTACTTTTAATATATTTAACCTTTTTGATAATGTTATACCATCTCAAATATATGTATGAAATGTAGTTAAATTAAACAAGAACTTGTCTTATATGACACTATGTTATATCTTATTATTGGTAAAATAATTATATTACACATCTTAATTGTCTTTAGTTCAGTTTTATTTTAATATTGACAGCATCCAATATTGAGCTATGAAAAAAATAATTTTTGATTTAATAATTCAGAACATGTAAATTTTGTGTATAACTAAAATATTAAAACATAAAAATTATACACTATAAATTGATCACTTGTATAAAATGCATTTTAGAGAAAATGTTACATATCAAAGCAAAAGCAAATTTAAAATATAATAACTGATTTGGTGCTTAGGTTTTGATTTTAATGTGAAATACTATTTGTTTAATTTAATTACTATTCTTAAAAAAATAAGAAAATGTTAAAACAGTTTTAATTAGAAACTATAATTATTCTTTCCTTCTCAATCAACAACAAAAAGTTCAGGTCAGGACTCATATGAATAGAGAATAAAAATAGCTCCTTGACCGGCCAGTATACAAGAGTACACAGTTCTTATCCTGTGAAAATTTCCTCAACATTGTAAGGAAAATATAAAGAAAACAATTAAGTAAATGCATACTAACATATGCCCCTCCATACTCAGTAGGAGATCCTTGTCAGATATATTTATAGTGGAACACAATTTTAAGAGCCAGAGTCTAATGATAGTGTAAAGCTATGGCTTTCAGTCGCTATGGACATAATTAAAGGAAGTAAAATGGTATAAATTAACATATCATGGTTATTAAAAGAAATACAAAAGAACACATAATATTTTAAAACAGGCATGTAGTTTTACTTTGAAATATATTTTTTAAAGATTAAAAACTCTCAATTGATAAATCACTTATCCCTTTCTTGCTATTGATGTAATGATAATTTATTTTTCATAGTGTACATAATTATTTGACATCAAACAAAAATCTCTTCACACAAAGACTTACTGGTCATAGCTATTATAATTGTTTTGCTCATTTCTATTCCAGCACTTACTTTGTATTGAATAAGTAATATCATTCCTATAAGAATTTAATTAGTTTACTTTTTCAATAAAAACAATTTTTTTGTAACAGAGATTATGAAAAGTTATATTTCGCAAGGCCTTATATGTATATCACATAATATTTTTGTTCGTGAAAATCGCATTGCTAGCATTGCAGGATTTAAATATTAACAAAAATAAACAATAAACATATATCAACATAAACTGCAAGCATAAAAAAGGAAATTGTAACAGAATTACTGTGGTCGAAAATCAAAATGAATAGCATTATGAGTGTGACATCTGTATGTTGTTTTAATGGGTGATTGATACTTTTTTAATAAATAGGTATAAATACGACTTTTACGAGAAATTTTAAAGTAATGTAGCAGTTAACATTATTAATAATAGAGATACCATTTTAATGTAATATACAATTGAATTTCTTCAGTAGGAAAATATTGGGTGCAAATTCAAAATATCTTTATTCTAATGTCAATTTTACTGAAGATTTGTTATCAATAAAACTTTTTGTAACACAACTCTGCACTGAATAACCATCAAAACTTAAATATATTCATATACACCAATATAAAAATCTATTCTATGCATAGAAAACGAAGAACTCTTTAGGCACAAAGTACGGCTTCGCTGCCGTGTAGTGTGTGCACACAAGCGTCAAGCAAAATTTTATTTTAAAGTTACGAAGTTTTTGTTCCAAAAAGTTATTGCATACACAAAGCTATGACAAGTAGACATGTATTTAAAGTACTAAGTAATATCATAACAATATGTATATGACAATATCAAGAAATTGTTTCGGTATCTGGAAATTCTTTATTTACAAAAAAAAAACTTTGAATCAGCTGTCACTGATTACGTCAGAAATTGTTTAAAATGAAACTTAATGGTTTCTAATATATGGAGCAATTTAATAAACTATTTTGTTTTTAAAATAAGTTTTTATACGAAATCCAAATTAACTAATTATCGATCCCTTGCGGACCAACATCAAACTTACCTTCAGATAACTCTAAGTCCAACTCTGCCAACTTATCTCTTATTTCGTCCGGTAACTTTGAAATATCAACACTTAAGTCAGCCATAGTGAAAAAACACTTTTTCACACAAAACTAATAATGTTAACGACAAAAGTCTAAGACACCATCGTGACATCTGGCCATCTTGAATTTTGATTATTTTCTGTCCAACATCAACGTTAAACTGATTGTAGTGACTGTAATAGCCCAAAGAGGTCGCTTTATTGTCAGTCAGTTTAGAAAGTCTGTTTTCAATTGCAATTTATAAGAACGCTGTAAGGAAATATGTACATCATAAGCTTTTTCTAAGTTTTCATGAGGAAGAAATGTAAAAAGTAATGTGAAATTTTTTTACAATAAAATATATATAAAAGAAACAAGACACGAGAAATATTTATACTGTTTCTTAAAAGGAGACAAAAATTTATTAAAGCACAAACTGTGTGACCGTCCTGTCTCCTATTACAATAATATTTAAAACTACTAGATTTTATAAAAATGATTTAAATTGCTTTCATAGGCAAATTATTATACCGAATTATAAAGTATTTTGATGGTTACTAGTCATTAAAGTTTAAATGAATTTAAAAAAATGAATACTAAACTATTTCAACCTTTATAGTTTTGAAGCTTATTTAGTAAAATATATGAAGCACATAATTATATTTTACAACTACTGATTATATTATTCCTTATTACTATTTAGAAATTTTCATGAATTCATTCATGTTCATAAATTAATCATAATTATTTGAAAACAATATTTTTTAAGTAAATAGTAAATTAATTATTTTTTAGTCAAATAGCATTACAAAAGCAAAGCAATAAAATATACATATTTTTTTAGTATGTTTGTTTCTTTTTACAATTCTGTGTAGCATAGACAATATTTCCTGGAATTTAAACACATCGTATCATTGCTCTTTGAAAATTTATCCGCTAGGTGACGCTAGGTGTTTTCTTCTTTCCGTCATTCACAGCCTAGTTTTTCTTTTTACGTTTAGAAGGTAGTTTAGTTGGCTGTAAAATTTATTCTCGTAATGGCTGCCACGCTAAATGAGTAGCTTATTGGTTATGTCATGTTTAAAATCTTTACATATGAGGTTTTTAAAAGGAAAACTCAACAAGTGTCTTGAACTATGATCGCATGAAAACTGTTGTAGCTTCAACCATCCTGGAACGTTTCTTCTTTCATGTTTCCTTTTTTGGCAATTAAGTTATGGACTCGGCGTTTGTGTATTAAATGTTATGAAAACATAATCTATGCTACGTAAAAAGTGTATAACGAGACCATATTGAGTGTCAAGTGCATTGAGGATAGTCAAAATGACGGACCCGAGATCGTCGTCAGCTCTGTTCAAGAGAGCCGAGCAGTTGAAAAGATGGGAGGAATCCGATACCAACAAACAATCATCATTACCGAAAAGGGAATCAAGAATTCAATTTTCACCGGGGATTGTGTTTTTAGCGGCTTGCACTTCGGGGGACAAGGAAGAAGTTCAAAGATTATTGAAAATGGGTGCAGATATAAACACCGCGAACGTGGATGGCCTCACGGCGCTACATCAGGTAATGTTATTGTATTTTATATACAAAACATGAAAGACAATATCTAATATCCTGAATTAATAAAAACCTTAAATCCTTTTTAACCTGAGAGAAAGGTTAAATATTTGTAGACCAAAAATTGGTTATTAAAAGTTAGTCTTGTATTTAAAAAATTGTTCTGCATAATTGTTGTGGTAAAGGACATCATTACATTAAAAATAAGTTTAAGATTAGTTCTATATTCACTAACCTATATAGTCAATTTTGTTTTCATGGCTTCGAGCTTTGAGTTACTCAATTCATATGAAAAGATTCATATGTGAACTGAACTTTACGTAATACTCTCTGAAAGAATATTAATCATATTTTATTTAACATACATATTGTACATCTTAATTGTTATTTTAGTACCTAAAACTATTCAGATATTTTTCTTCTGTTCATTACCACTCTTATTGAATTCATTATTACTCATTACTACTCATCAGGCCATGGATGATAGCTCAGTAATATTTACAATTCTAATGCAAAATTTCAAGATTTGTATATGTTTATTAAACAAGCTTATCCATTAATTTGTTTATTAAGATACTTATCTTATAGTAAGGCCTGAGAAAATGTCTTTTTATTATATGTTGAAAGCAATTACCTTTAACATTTTCATTGCTTATAAGCGACCCCAATAAGATCATTTAAAATCTTGCAGTACTAACTTTATCTGCATCTGAATAGAATTAATGTTTTAATATAGTTTTACTCTTAATTATTCCACTTAAATTTTATACAAAATGCCTACTTACATTTCATATAATTTTTATTCCTCTTTCATGTTATGTGTGATTCAAAAGGACAATAGATTGTAATAAATTTGCCTGTAAGTATAAAAAATTTCAACTGCTTATTAACCTCACCTAAACTGAAGAAAGCCTTGATGGATTTATCTTTTTTATTATTTTATTAAATTGATGTTAATAAGGAAAACATTCTGTGTTATTAATATTATGTATAAATATATGAAGCGTCCATCTATAGAGCTAGCATAGCCTAATTGATACACATCTTGATATTTTCCGAAATGTGTCCAATAGTTACGTGCAGTTAAAATGATAATATCCATAAATTCATTATTTTATATAAAAATGATTAGTTTTTGATGTAAAACATTATGAAAGTAAAACATTGCAGTGCAATGACCAAAATTTTGCCAAGAATAACAAGGTTTAACGAGGATTCAACACTGAAGTTTTTTGTAAGACATTTTACTCTTGTTTGAATATTGCTGCAATGAGCACTATAAAAATCTATCACTTGTTCTCAATATAGGTTTTAGAAATATCATGTGGTAAAGTATATATAATCTCTAAGCTGATGTTTTCAGTATAATTACATATAATATGATTATCATTATATAGTAATTTAAAACAAAATGCCTTATTGAATTGACTCTAGTTTTTCTACATTAAGAAAGAGCAAAAAGTTAAAACTGGACACAGCATGTTGCTGCTCGGCTTTGGTACAGGTTGACAAACATATTCCATTGCTTATTGTAGTATGCTAAAACTATTTGTAAAGTGGATTAGAGTTCTCAATTTAAAAGTATATGTGTATCTAAAAGTTCGATACTATACTTTTAAATAATAATCTAGTTTTCAGATATAATATTTCAATATTACTATTATAAAATTTGTAAAAATATCAAACGCAAAAACTTCCGCTAAACTTAGTTTCGTAGGGAATGCGGTACTGCATGTCACGTGTGTTGAGCTTAGCACTTGGAATAACTTTCGATTGTTTCGACCGACTACTAAACGTCAGCAGTCCCGAATTAGAATCTGACAGTGTCCATGCTTCTATACAAATAGTGAAACATTACTGTTGCTCTATATTTCCGCTACACTGTACTCGTACAATTTATTAAAAATAAGTAAAGCAAATTCAACTAGAAACTAAAAATATCTCTTGCATATTAGATACTAAAAGGTTTTTAATGATTAAAAGAAAAACATTAATAGGTACATGTTAAGAGTAAGACCTAAATGATATTATATATGACCATTAATGTCTTCCAATTGTTAGCCAAAGATAAAATTTTGTAATGATGTTGAGTTGAGATATTTAAGTATTACATAACAGGAACATTTCACCAATATTTTGCTTTTGTTAATATACATATATTGACATACATTAGCATAACTTTATCTTCACATGTGTTGTGTATCTGTGAATGCGGCCATGTTCGTTAATAGTCCGAACCCACAGGAAAGAATTAATAAGTCTTAATAGACGTAATTAATATGACCCCCGTCGAATAACCTGACATCTTAGAGGGTACCATACAATGGCTGTCAAGACGGTCTCCTTAAATGCTTTTTAAAATTTGTACTTTTACTTCAACTTTAATAGAAATAATTTTCTTGGTAATAAATAGACACAAAATTAGTGGAACGATACAGAATGGTCCTTTGTTCCGTACATTACGTTGGTAGGGTTTCTTCAGCAGCGTCTTCGACACCTGTGCTTTTCAAAACTCATAACTATATCAATGTAAAATCCTCTATAACAAAATACGCAAGAAGGTAGAATCTTTGGTGTAAAACTATCGAATGTCAATGAATTTATTGAGTTGCCTTCGAGTCTTTTGTCTGCAAAATCTTTGTCTTTTTGTAAGCCGCTAGTCGTCTCAAAAGTACATGGTGGAATCTGACCTCTTCCTTGATTCACTCGCTGTTTATGGTACAATTTTACGACAGTATAATCGAAGCAGAAATATATTTAGAAATATATTCATATGTGTATTCTATATTGTTGCGTGACTAGTTTGCTTATGACGTATTGAAATACTGTACTTTGATAGTTCACTGAATTTTACTGAAAGCGTCCGGGTGGGATGTTTCAATATTTACCATTCAAATGAGTTGAATGAAATAATATAATTTTTTGGGATGGTAAAAGCTCTTGTAACTTCATTTTGTTCTTTACGTTACAAAGTATGCTAAAGACAAAATCTAGTCTAAGAATAGACTATAGATATTTGTCACACGAAAACGTATGTATATGCAGGAAAGTTGGATGATAATAACAAAAATCATAAAAAAGCAATAAAACTATTAATTATTTATCTTTTTTAAAGGCCTTTGAGACAGTAACTATTCAGATATCTAATGCTTTCGTGTCTCGAATTGTCTTAAAAGTACTTAAACTACAAGGATATACAGTTACTTTTATTTTTTAATGGATTTTAGGTTATAACTTTAGTATTCTTAATGTCTTAGGAGTCTTTGGCGCCAAAATGAGTCATGGTGACCTCACAAACCATTCGGAATAAAACAATGTAAATGTATTGTAATCACCAATGACAAAACAATGGGTTTATATTTTTTTTAAATCTTAGGTGCTGTTTTGGATTTGGAAGTGTAAAGTTTATGGTGGTATTGTGAACTTCTTGAAAATAATAATTGCTGCGGTATGTGACTATCATACCATCGAAAAATAAAACAGTATATCATAGAATCGTATGGAAGCTGATAATTATGATATTGATTTCAATATTATTTTTACATTCTCGTTCGGCGTTAACATAGTTCCGCATCTGGAACACCGCGTTTGCCCTATTTATAAAATGCGTTTAGTTAGCCATACCACATACGAACGTTTGCGAGATATATATGACTTGGGATTTTGATTCGAATATAAATTTCAAGAACATTATAGTTTTATTAGATATATGTTACTTTTTTGCAACTTAAATCCCGGTGCTTAAGTATGACGTTAACATTTTATTGTATAATTATATGTATTTTTAACACAACTTATATAATTCTTTAAATTTTAAATAAATGTACTTAATAAGTCCAATCCTGAAGCGTTACGTGATCCAGGAAATCTAATAAGCATAGACCTTTAATCGTTTTACATGTCTGGCACTGGTCTCGTATGCAGCCATTTGTCACTACAATAAAAATACTATCCTTTTTAAAAATACCTTATTTGGAAAAATGTGTTATAAATTAAACTATTAGCTATAAAGTTATATTACAATATCCCTATGAAATTTTATTCGACTATTTTTCCTTATTACTAAATAGTTATAAATGAAATTATTTTGTTTGAATATTTGTTTATTATATATAATAAATGAAAAAACTATACGTATTGAAAAGTAGTTAAAAATTCTGTTATGGAGTTATATTGGGGATTTTTTTGCATTTGTGACAGTTTTATCGTAACTGTCATGGTAAAATTTATTCTCTGTTCTAAATTACGGACATTTTATGTTATTTATAATAGACAGTCGGGAAATCGCCGTTCCTATCACAAATTTAATTATTATTTTGGCAGCGTTTGATCACGGATGCGTTTTGTCTTCGCCGTACGGCGAGCGTTGTTTTATATCAGTATTTATAGTGCACGATACTCTTCTCATTAGATAGTCCGGGAAATTAGGTCGATGACTTCGTGAACTTCTAATTTTGTGAATTAAATTTTTACAATTACTGTTATATTAGAAAATGTTGAATAAACATTTCATGTATACTTTATGGTCTTTGCTCCAACTATTTTTTTTCCCAAACTATTCTGATCACCTTTTTTATTTGTCTTCATATTGATTTCATGACGTCTGTTACACTTTTTCTGTGTTTTAACAATTGTGACCTATAATTTGAATTCCGGGGTGTCCTAAAATTATTCTAACGCCCCATTTAGTATCGATATTTGGGCAAATTTTGTGTTTTAAACATAAATTGATGCTGTCATTGACCGACCTAAATGTTTTTGGTGGAATTATGTTTTGCTGAATGACAACGACGAGCGCCACGTAAATTTAGAATCGGTCGAGGATTTTTTTCGAGGTCACGTTAGAAAAGCTGAGAGAGATCCGTTGATATTAGTTACGTCATAGGCTGCACACGCGCCATGTTTAATTTTAGTGTTAATTGTGGACGTAGGCACGGAGCTCACTGACAGCAACTCCGTTTCTGGGTTGCCAAGGGATTAAAGATTAAAATAAACACCAGTACAAATACTATTTTTCCTTATAATAATTATTAATTCAAACAACCATTTGTAAATTATATTTTAATATATACTCTTATTACTTTGAGTACTTTTTAAGAAACTTCAATTATAAAAGAATGCCTAACAAAGCACTGCTTAGAAAAATATAAGGCATTTCTTTAAAGTTAAAAATGAAATGTAATCTTATGATTAAATTTCGCCGAAAAAATGGGAAATCTTAAGTTAAAAATGTTTCGTCAAATGTTCCATGGCTATATTGGTCTTGTATTATGGATTTGTATTAAATATTACGCCGGGTGACCTTGGATGGTATTTTTGTACAACAATTATTTATCATTCCCGTGCTCCGACAGACGACTGTCAAAATATGAAAAGGCCGTAAGATATTAGGAACATCTGTATCACCTGGGAAAGAGCCAATTCATTGATAAGGTACCATTTAGAATTATTATTGCGTTCAAAGCGAATCAGTTGATATGATGCATTTATTTGTATATTGAGTCGACCATAACCTGATGTGTATTGACAGGTTATCATGTTTATTATAAACGAAGAAATAACAGTTTATGATAATTCCGCTGTGCGTAGTTACATAAAATAAAAATATTACCTAGTGCTTGATCTAGAATGGCGACACGCGCCAGCGATTGTGGCACTGACCCTGTAGTGGTTCCATACTGCTGCACAATGCAATTAATGTACTATTGAAAACCATAACTAGCCTACGTTAACTTTATTAAATAACAGTATGAAAGTTAAAATACTGAAGTTTTTCAAACTGTGATGAGTTTTAACAGAAGCTTTTTGCGAATAAGTCGTATTTTCATATACCTAATACTGTTACTTCTGCTTGGCGACATATAATATAATTTTTCTAAGCATTTAGCGAATTGTATTTATTGGTTGCGAATATTGTTTTAATTATTATTATTATTTATAATATGCTATGTAATCAGCCTGGCTTATATTTCAAAACTTAAAATTACAGACGAACGCCAGACCAGCGTTATGGAATCTGAATAAAATTATCTATTTTTTAACGTAAGCTTAATAGTTTTAATGCTATGTAGAATTATGATTTTGTTTCGTATGCTAAGTGAAATGGATGAATATGAATTAATTTTGTTTTAATAATTAAATAACAATTACTTAATATAAGAAAATATATCGAATAATATTGTAAGTTTTAAAGTATAGAATGTGATATTCGTTTAAAGTAACTCAAAGCAACCCTTTTTCCAGGCAACTAACAACTGTTAGTAAAATGACACAAGACACACACACCTCCCCCTGAGTACACCACTTTCTATAAAAAAAAATATTACGTTAGGTTTTAATTGCTAGTCTACTCTTAAACCACTTTTATTTTAGGAAATAAAGCATTGCTAGGAATATATTCTTATGCTTTATAATTCTTTGAATATATTTGAGATTTTATTTAGGAATACGAGCTGAATATTTTATTCGACATACCTACATTTATTAAGTACACTTACTATCGTTTCGATAAAATAATACAACTTTTGAAGTCTCCAGTCTTCGAAATGTTAAACGATATCTGAAAATTCTTTATGAGGTAAAAAGGGCAAGGTTGAGCAACAGTTACTACAACCAAATATGACGAGATTCATAAGTGATAAGTATTTAACTGAATTTCTCCTTGAATTCTTGAGAATTAAATTCAACTTGAAAGCTTTAAATCAAAAGAAAGGAAACCTGGTAGACAAAAATTAAAGAAGTATTTATTGAGATTTATTTCATAAAAAAGATGAATTGAAAGCCCAAAACTACTATAAAAACAATATTATACAAAATTTACCGATTTCTTAGAACATTTAGAACGCATTAATATTATTATATTTTTAATCAGTTTAAATTCAAATATGTTATAATGAGAAAAGGGAGTTAATTATGTAGGTCATTGAAACGTAAAACATGGTCACAATCATTCGATAACGCGCAAAATCATGTTGAAATGGCGGTATCTTCTCGATGATGTACCAAAATCTTGGATTTCAGTTAAATAAAACAGTATTTTGACAAATTCATATAGAATTTATCGCAACTTGAATTATTTTTTAATTCCACGAACCTCCCTGTTATTGAAACGGAAATTTGAGTTACAATGGAAGATTCTGATTTCGATTTCATAAACAATTGACATAACAAATTAAATGGTAGTATAAACAATACTGTAAATCTTTTTAGTTTATTCTACCTATTTTATGTATTCTTAAATTTATCTGGTTTAAGAAAGTCTTGAACAACTTTAACATATGTTGTTTGAGTGGAAAACGTAGTCAGTAATTCTTGAAAAAATCCTACTAAAATTTTAAATGCCAAAGACTGTGTTTATGTTTTTGGTACTTTAATTTACTAAGTATTTGAGCAATATTAATGACATGGAGCTCATTAGTTAATAGGTTTTAGCTAAATCTACACATAGGCCTAGTTAGTAAAATAATCTGGTATTCTTTTTTGCCTTCGTTTATTAATAAAATCTTTAAAATTAAACCCAGTTTACGCACATATTTTTTCACGAGTGCCATTTAATTGTGCCATTCAATTAAAAATTGTGCCATTTAAGTAGATCGCCTAATTACACATTATTTATGATAAGACATCTTGTAATTCTGGGCCGAAAATAAAATTGCTTTAAATAAATAATCAAAATACTGAATAACAAACGGGCAAAATGATTGCGTTAACTAGAAATAAACTCGTAATAATATTTTATTGAGAATAATTATGATAATTAAAAACCATATTTGTTAAGAGTAAAAGTATTTATACGGGACTTAAAGTTGTTAAGTTTTCTGATGGCCAGCGCTGCTAAGACCTCGTCCATGACCACCGTTCGATTGAATAATTTTTCAATTATTTATTTAAATAACTAGATTTATAAGTTGTAGAGCAATATTAATGGAATAAATTTACGTGACGTCACCGACGTATGAGTCCTTGCCCTTATCTTAAACAGAAAAATGTCCCGTTATATTTTGGCATTAAAGTTGATTTCTCATTTTGTTGTCTATCGAGTTTTTATTATGAACACAGAAAAACTATGAAAGTAATAAATGAATCTTTTTGCAGGCGTGTATCGATGATAATCTGGAGATGGTTGAGTTTCTAGTGGAGCACGGGGCGGATGTCAATAGGGGCGACAACGAGGGCTGGACACCGCTGCATGCGACGGCTTCCTGCGGCTTTTTGAGTATAGCCAGGTATTGTAATATAATACATATACAAAATAAATATATTTGCATCAATTCTTACATTACAATCATAGAATACATGTTATGTATTTTTATATATTACGAAACAATAAGTATGTTAGGAATTATAAATGTATTTCTGTGAAAGGAATGACGTTGTGATGAACAAACGAGTGATATACAATATGTTGGAGTAAACGAAGTCTGAGTCACTTGACCCCGTTGTTGGGAGTTCCTGTCCATCCATTGTATTTTGTCAATTACTCATACATTATCGACATGTCGCTTTTACAATTTGCATTTAATTTTTATAATAACAATCTTTTTCAAATGTTACTTTCTTTTCTAGTGAATGTATGTACTAATAGTAATTAAATATTCGTAATGTGTATAACATTCACAAAACACAACCTTATAAAACAAAGTTCTTATTATTATATTATTTTAGCATGTTCTAAACTTGAGGATTACGGAACAAATCGTGAACTTTTAAATTCTTTTTTTGCTGAGGAATGTCATTTTGTGTGATTTCATTGTGCGTTACAAACAAATAAAATAGTATCCTTAGATACTGTATACATTGTGTGTACGTATTTATTTATCATAATTATACTATCACAAAAAATTTCGTTTAATGGAGGCGAAAAATTTAAAATTATTTAATGTCTATACGAACATGCATCATTATACATTTTAGTAACAACCAGGCATAAAGTAATTGATTGTCATTAAAAACCTATAAACCTATTAAGTATCCCTTTATCTAATAACAAATGTTTTATTAAAGATATCTTTTGGAGAACGGTGCGGACGTTGCAGCTGTAAACTATGACGGCGAGCTGTCTGTTGATATCGCTGAGAGCGATAAGATGGAGGAACTGCTGCAGAAAGTTATTGATGATAAAGGTCTTATATACTGTATACATGTTTCTGTATTCTATCTCAAAACTACTTATCTTACGACGAACAGAATTTAAAGAAGCTTGATTAATTAAATTTAAGTGCACTCCAAGTAAATTTTATAACTCATATCAACATACATATAGATAAGAATAGCTATGTATTTGTATACATTATTATCGTGTCAATAGATGCTGATTATATAATATAGTCTTGTAAAAACACTTGTATATTCAATTACAGGAATAGACTGCGAGAAGTCACGTAATGCAGAGGTGAACAAATTACTAAGCGATGCCAAGAACTGGGCAGCTCATGGTTATGTTGAAGTGAGGGACCCCAAGACCGGCGGGACACCTCTACATGTTGCTGCCGCTAAGGGTTACATTGACGTAAGCTTGATAACTTTGAAATATTTCCGGGTATTCGAAAAAAATTTGACATCCTCGTTAAATATTAGGTCATGATTGTGTTGTTCAGTCATGTGGTTTATGTACATACGAAAGATTTATTTATAAATCTAGATGGACGAAGTCGCGGTAGTAACTTGGTTATATGATGAAAAGTTTAAAGGTGTATTTAATCTTACCTTAAAAATTGTTACATCTATATTTTGGAACTATCGAGTTAAAGGAAGATATTGGCACCCTTTATTCTGTAAAGTCAAAGTGGTTATTGCGAAATATAAAAAAAATATATATGGTTGTAATTAATATATTCCTCCACAATAATTTGTAATTAACATTGAAATAACACAGTGTTATGAAAATTTTTCTTTAGCTCCTTCAAAGAAGTATATGTATGTACGTGTGTACTGGTTATTTTCGTGAACTTTTTTACCCTATCGTAAATCCAAGAAGCTAAATTTTTTTACGGAGAATTGTGTTGTTAGGAAATGTACATAATTAATGATACTGGGCCATTGAGTGTACGAGTATTCGTATGACACACCTGAAACATCTGACCATTTCTCACGGGTCATGTCTACTCTATTTTAAAATCTTTCTTTATACAGGGTGACTGGTGAATTACTATCGATACTTGAGGACGTGATATTTGACGATCATAAATGACAAAATAAAAATTAATATAACATAAATATTAATAAACTTCTAAGTAAAGTTAACCAAAAGTTATGTAATTAATTACGCATCGTGTGAACACCCTACAGATTAGGTATACACTCACACACACATTCGCGTGCGGCGGCGTGGTGTTGTATCAGCACGTCGCCGCACGCGTCCACACTTGGAACACTTGGAACGTGTCCACACTTTATTTATTTATACGGAAATTTTGTCAAAAATTAAGTACCTATTTTTTTACATAATTCGGATGAGAATCATGTACCGAGTATTCTCCTTAAATATTGATAGTAATTCACCAGTCACCCTGTAGATTCCTTTTTTATAAAAGGTTGATGTAAAAATTACTACTCAAAAGTTTAATACATCGTTTTAATTGTTTTTCTTAGGATAATTGTGATAATTAGCATAGCTGAAGTTTATATGTAGAAAGAGACCACTAACAGAATTTTTTTACATAAAATCTTAAATAAATTAAAAATAAAAAAGTTTATAATTAAAATTGTACGACACTACAATGATGACTACATATACACAATATGTGAATGTTTCTCAGAGTATGTATATTGTCACTAACATGACATTTACAATTATGGTATAATAACTTTTGAATATATACTATTACTAAATCGGTGAAAACTAATACAGGCCCGCCTCATAGATAACTTCATTACTTATATATCAATCTAAACCCTTTAGCTTATTCTAAAAATATAAAAATATTGACGACTTTAGATGCACATGTATATATACAAAATTTGAGTGTCTGTGATTTTGTTATATAAATATATCTCAGATATTATAGATATCTTAATATGACGACTAATAATTTAGAAACCAATTACATTTATAAATTAATGTCTAGCTATTAACACCCTGAATATTACATAAGTAATTAATCTATTAGTGGCATAGTTTACAAAGTAAATTTATAGTAGGTCTAAAATCATGAAAAATGTCTGCAATTAAAGAAATAGACAAAGCTGAATTAGTTATTGTAATATTTAATAAGCATTTGTGCAAAACAATTATTCAGTTTAGCAAATTAATATGTGAAATGTTTCTTAACTTTCACATCTATTCTTTTAATTTGTTCCAGGGTCTAATATTTAATTTAATGTGAATTCTCTTTAGTTAGTAATACATATTTTTTAAATCTAATATTTTCTATTCAAGAATCACATTATCTAAAGGATATGTAATAAGACTTTTGTATCTTCAATTTCAAAAGGGTTTATGTGTGGCTTTATATTTTTGTTTGCAGGTGGCTCAAACCTTACTTGATGAATGCAACGTTGATCCGGACTGCGTGGACTACGAGGGCTGGAGTCCGCTTCATGCGGCAGCACTGTGGGGCCAGAAAGAGGCAGCGGCTATGCTGATTAAGTATGGAGCTGATCCCAACTTAAAGAACTACTCGGTACTTGCCTTCTCTGTTTATATGTTACCATATATAATATTAAGTCACCCAGGTATCAATTTGATACAATATTTAGTACTTGCATCAAATAGCAACTAATCTGGTCACTAATAAACAATAGCAAAACTAAGTAATAACTCGTGTTTATCTTCTCAAACATAGTTGTCTCATTGAAATTTATAAAGTGCATATTAGTTCTTAGTCAATTTGTTTACTATAAGAATTCTTCAATTTCTTATCATAAATATAGAGAAGTTATCATAAAAGTCCTTTACATTGCACATTTAATGACATTGTTTAAAACCTAGGTAATTGTTATTGTATGTAAACAGATGTTAAAATAAATATATATATTAATTATTTTTAGATGAGCTAAAAGCGTTTAAGATTTATCTATATTACAATTAGGTATATAAAAACTTTGTGAATTTGTTTTTATTGGATCAAATTTAGTCTTATTAAAAAACATTACTATGTTTGTTTGTGTCAAAAATATTTTTTACAAATTAAAAAGTTACAGATAACTAGTTCAAATACTTGTACATTTGTTTATTTTAACATGATTAATATGATAAATTTTATAACTTATATATTTATTTGCATAATTAATTAGAAGTGTTGTGAATTAATGTGTTGTGTCAGTGCTTGCTTTTAAGATCCTTCATAAACTTTTTATTTTGTATATTATTATTAAATATAATAAAAATATGTATTAATTAATAATTTCAGGGTCAGACATGTTTGGACCTCGTAGACCCGAGTATATCGACGTGGCTGGCTGAGGCTGCTCTGAAGGCTCCACGTCGTATTAACAACAATAACAACAACATCAATAAACTGAAGAGTCCTCTACGAAACGACGTCAAGAGAGTCGAGCTGCAGATAACTGGACAAGATGACAATATTATTAATGGTATGAAATTTATTTATAAAACATGTTATATTATTTTGATGAAGCTAGTATTAATAAATTTTAAACGTCTCTCTTATCACATTTGCTTCACATCACGCTTCTTGATTAGTTTTTTTTTATATTTTTGTATATACATATAATGAATCAGTATGTTGTTGGTTGTGTAGTTTTACTTAAATTAATACAAATTGTCTGAGTTAATTGGTAAACTAAAATGCTTATAGTTTAAATTTTTTGTTTTCCAATAAAAAGAATATGATTTAAATGGGGATAAGCAGTTATTTTAAAGGTGTTGTTTAATTTTAGACAAGCCACCGGCGCCTGAAATAGTACCCAAGGCGGACTGCAAACCGCCAAAACGTAGAGCACCATCTCCAGAGGCAGAATTTGCTGAGAACGAAGAGACAGAGGACGCTCCTTCCTGGAGGAGATCAGCCTCCTTCAGGAACAGACAGCAAGAAAATACACGTAAGTTGAATCCGAACATTGGAATAATAAAAATGTTTCATGATTCATACTATACTAGAAGACCCGGCGAACTTCGTATCGCCCTATAATCTAGAAATATCTTTTACGTTTTTTTGTTTATATTTTTGGAGTTTACCTATTAAAGCCATAAATCTCCGTGTTTTGAAGTGCGACAGAATGATTGACATATTAGTTAGTTGTCAAATAAAAAACGTTTGTATCAACAACTACTAATAAATTAAAAATTAGTTAAAAAAACATTGTCCAGCGGACAAAATTGTGAATCCGAACCATTCCCAGATCCCCTTGAACACACACAAAAAATTTCATCAAAATCGGTCCAGTCGTTTGAGAGAAGTTCAGTGACATACACACTCACCGAAGAATTATATATATAAAGATTATATATTTATGTTCAAGGTGAAAATAAGCCATCTAACAATAATTTGGACAATGATACGATTCTGAGAAGAACTCACAGCTTTGAAAACGATAAGACGTAAGTTGCGATGACGCTTTTTTATATTTATTTATTTTATTTAAGGTCGCTTATCTTAATAAAGATTCGTGTTTTTATTTGGCATGTAGCTACGTATGTACTAAAACAAAATGTATGATATTTCATATTAATTGAAAAAAAAAAACATCTATAGTGAAATATCGCACTACAAAATGGCGTCGTGAATTTTTTTTTATTATTGTAATGATACATTCAATAATGTTTTGAGAGTTAAAGATCGTAATACATTCTAGAGAATGAAGATTTTAATGGGAGGAAAGAGCTCTGTGCTCGTCTGAAAGTATTAAGATAGATTTTTGATGATTGATCTGAACATTATGAAAGTTTGAATAAAAGTTGCAAGTGAAATGTTAATAATTGTTGTAAGGGAAATGATTAACATTTCTTCATTTAGCTTTAAGCTTAAAAAATCATTATAACAAATAACAACGTGCTAACTGCCAATGCTGTACAATGATACTTGCATAATATAAATAAATGTTCATTTCAGAAATAGACGAGACTGCTTTTTGAAACTAATTAGTCATTTCGACAAAATCCGACGGCCACCAAGCGATAATATTGTTTTTGATGAGTTAGTTAAAATTTCAAGTAAACTTGTGTATCGTCGTAGACACATAGGCTAGAAGTTCAGTTTGTTTTGTTCGTTATCATACAAGTGGAGCGAATAACTTTAGATTCATAACAAAAAAAAAACAAAATAGATATTTATAATATACAACATGGATATAATAAACAGAGTTTACATAATTGTTTCTTGAACGTTATTCACTGCACTTAATAAATGGATTTGTGGGAGTTCGAGGACCACTCGACGGGACGTATGAACCTGTTAGTCACGCTTGCATGTTAATGTTGCGATCTATGTTTACATTATACATACATATGTAAATACGTCATAGCTTATGTACCGTGACTACATGCGCATGTGTGTGAACAGTTTCTATCAACGCTACCGTGACGTGACGGCTCGTATAAAGGCGTCCTCGTGTCCCTCTATACCGCCGACGACTATCGAGATCGGTCGCACTAACAATGTAGCGACTAACGAGGACGCTCACAACAGGTGCTGCATGTTATATGTCCATTGTATTTTAATATATTAACTGCTTGGGACGGTTTTACTTTACAATATTGTCAGGATCGTGATATGATTTAATTTTTTTTAAATATTATGGTCTTGTATTTATTTTTACAACCAAAATTTCGTACAGTTGATGAAATATATATACATTATTAATTATTATGTTATTCGAACAATTTAAATTGACTCGTTTGTATAGTAAAACCGTTTTACATGTAATCCTGTATCTCGTTTACTATCAGCTAGAAAATGCGTAATATGAAAGTCTATATTTAAGTGAACAATTTGTTCGATTATCTCGAATATTTAGATTTTTAAATTACGCAGTCTATCAAAAAACTTTTAGTTGGAAAGTGGCAATAAACATTCAAAAATATATTTTATATAATATCATTAATTTGATTAATAATATGTACTACCTTTACAATAAATATCCTTAGCTTAATTAGTTTGTGCCCCACTAGCTTCTCATTAAAATATTCGAAATACGAATATATTTTATAGAAACCCCAAATGTATTTTTTGTATATGAAAGTAATATTTGTGTATTATATTAGTAGTCAATATAACTAAACATTTCCTTGATTTATACGATCAATATTGTTGTCTCGTAATAAAATTTTATATATTTATTTTATTTATAATTTTAGATGAATATGATGTTCTCATTTATTTTTTGGGCCAAATAATATTTAACTTCCAATAGTTTTTATTAAAATAATCCTTTTTGTGTTAGATTTTTTTTAAATAACTTTTCAATTAATCGAAAGATATAAAGTTCTGATTGAAACAATATTTAAACAGAGTGAGTGCAACTGACAGGCGAGAGAAAGAAACACCAAACACGAGTGCCGCCACTTCTACTACCACAACACAAACATCAGTTAGGAGGTATATATTTATTCATTCAATAATTAGCAGCGAAAAGTTTTCTACGGTACTTAATCTTTAGATTATAATATAAGGCACTATCTTAGAATGGTATAACGTCTGTTTCAGAATAAGTCCAACAGAGAGGCGAGACAGGGATATTCCTACAACAACAAGTGCTAATGCTAGTCCAACTAACACACAGTCTACAGTCAGAAGGTGATTAAGTTCAAATAGATACTTGATTTCAGATCATTAATCTTTGCTATTACTTATGAGGTCATACATCTATTTAAATGTGTTACTTTATAAAGGTTTTATTCTGATTTCGAAATTCATTTACAAAGTTGTTTATTTTTTCTACTTTTATAGGGACGTTAAAAATAATTTATTGAATTTTAAATATTAATAATAAAAATAATATCAACAGAATAAGTCCTACGGAAAGAAGCGGAAACGCGAGTCCAACAAACACCACGCAGACTACAGTTAGAAGGTATTTATTTATATGCATAAGTAGTTCAGTATTTCTAATGTTTTTAAGTAGATCCCAACTCCATGGTCAGGTTGAAATTTTTTGGTGGTGTCATTTGTGTATAATTTGTAGTACTTTTTAAGGTTTTTTACACATGATGGGTCGACAACTTTTGTTTTATGTAAAGGAACTGTTCTGTTTCATTAAAAGCGGTCATCCCATTGTATTGATGGGTTTAAGGTAATTAATTAGTTGTTATGTGTAACAGCTCTTCGGAGAGCGTAGAGTCGAACAGTAGCAATTCAACACCAAGTACGGCGACGCCCACAAAGCTGTCGCCTGGGAACATATTCAAGAATTTCTTCAAGTACTATTGATTTGTAGTTACAGTAAAACTTATTTGGACACTGAAATTTTAATTATATTTTTGTAATTTACTATGTCACTGTCTAGTCTTAACACCTGACAATGGCTGAATTGAAATTCTAGTCATTGGCTAGTTGCTACTCGCCTTTTATGGTTATTTATGTTGCAGTATTACTTCATGCATTGAGCAATTCAAATATATATTTCAGATTTTTTTTTTACTTTTAGCGGCATATCCTTGTGTCCAAATATGTATAGTGTGTGAATTTTTTGCTGTGTGAAGTATAGTTTGAGCACGACAGGCGATGCATGTATCGTTTGTTATGCTCGGACATTGTTTTATTAGGTTTTGATATGTTTGTGCATGGTAATATTTTATGCAAAATCATTTATTTTATTTTAAATGTAGTGTTCGTTGTGCATGGTTTTATATACTCCTTTTATAGTGTATTTTTTTTTGTGTGTCTCTGCCTGATAATATCTGCAAAAATAAAACTGCCACTGTCTGTAGCTATAGGCAAACCACGTAAGTGAGCCCTCATCTATTCTGAGTATTCACAAGGCAACTGTAATCGAGAATTCACTTACGTGGTTTTCTTATATAATAGTCGCTCAGTTGCTGCATGTATTTCGTATGGTTGACAAATAGTGATGTTTCAGGTCGTTCGTGCCGCCTGTAAGGGATGAAGAGAGCGAGACTCAGAGGAAAGCTCACGCCAAGCGAGTCCGTGAGACGAGACGGTCCACTCAGGGTGTGACGTTGGATGAGATCAAATCAGCTGAACAACTTGTTAAGAAGAAAGCTGGTAATGGAACTGACGCTGCCCCCGCCACCAAGAACAACGACGACAGTCACAACAACACTGACCAGGTTATTATGTTTTATAATCACATAGCACATACATATCTATATGGCAATATGGCTGTACGTCGTATAAAACAGCAACTTGTGTAAATATTTCATAGTTTGTAAAGGAAGTAATTATATTATTATGATGAAATATTTTATGTATGTGTCACATTTTTAAGTATTTAATATTTTTTTTCGTCCTCTCTAGTATATTAACATTTGATGAGTTGATTTACTAGTCTTGTAAATATATTTGAGTTTGGATTTTACTGTAACATTGTGGTTAACTATTTTGACGGAAAATGTAAAGCATATAGACACACATCTAGAAAACATACATTTAATCATATCTTAAGTATATATTATTGAATTGATTATTCAATTTCATTATTTGGGATAAAAGGACGTTCCCAAAAATTGTAGGTAGTATATAATAAATCAAATTTCTCGTAGTTACCATGTGTCATACTCACAAGATTAGATGAATTCGCTAGACTGTTTAGATTTCTTATTCACAGGTTAATATTGTAACGACTTTCCATGAATTAATAGTTTTTTATGAATCAGGACATTCCTCAGATCCGATCTGGTGTTTAATAATACAAAAAATATATATTCTTTCAGTTTAAATCAGCTTATCACTAGTCGTTTGAAAAATTAATAAGAGTTAAATCTTTATATAGTTTCGCCGACCATTCCTTAAAATATTTTGTATATAAGGTGTTCACACCGATGACCGTGTTACCTTGCCAAAGTATTTCCTCTAGAGATGTTATAGTACGACAGCGAAGATGTTGTTTTATTTAATATAAATACATACAGAATTATTTGTTATTGATACATAAACAACTTTGTGGTCACTGGTTTCTAATTAAACTACTTGTAAAATAATATAAAAGATTAGTCATTTCAAATCGTCATCTTATCGGTTCCAATTTCATTGAGATCATCTTCGCTGTCTGAGTTGATGACGTCATATTTGCTAAGATTAGTTCCCAGGTACCAATAATATTCATGTATCAAAGTTGGTGTACGTATAGACCGAACTCCGCAATATTGGCATCCACGTGGTCACTCTTAAATTTACTGACGACGTTGTCAAAATGATAAGATCTAATGTAGGATTGAATTTTGGAGCCAGTAATTATTTCAAAGTCTTTTAAACTAAGACAAAGGTATACAAAGATTGTTATGGTGATGGTGTAGGGTCGAGGCAAGGTGGGCTTGTCGCTGGCGTTGGCGTGCGCTACCGCAACCGCCACGGCAACCATCGCGCCGAACAGCGAGCGACGCCCCTCGTGGCGGCTGCGGGTCGACCCTACCAACAAGGTCGTGTCTGTCTGTCTGTCTGTCTGTGTGGGGCTGGGGTTTCATTTATACTATTCACCTATTTATTTTAATTGAAAACAATTTTGTATTGTTTTTTTTTTAAGATTCGAATATAACAAACAGTGGAAAGTCGATTTGTTACAAAAAAAATTGTTGACACTCGCGCATGGTGTGGTTATGTTAACGGGATTTTCTAATTTTTGTTCGTTCTTGCGTCGTTATGTGTACACTGTACAGATTGAATACGTTACTTATACCTTACATTTTCGTAAATTAATGTTAACTAGTCATTAATAAAATTATTCTGTAAATTAAATGAAATGATATTTAAATTTGTTGGTGGAACGTGTTCAGTCTCATTTTTGTTATCTTCATTTCCTCTTCATATTTCGTTAGTTCTCACTTCACATGTGTGTAAAGTCAGCATGTTGTTTTATTAATTGTGTATTCGTTACTTTTATATTTTTTTAAATGTGAAACTAACTCATTATGTTTTGCTATTGTGTCTAGTGATTTTAAGATTGATTCATGTGATTCAATGAAAGTAAATTTCTCTATTTGTCCAACAAACATGAATCGTCTTAAATTTCAACTGTTGTTTTATTTATTTTTTACTATATAAAGTGTACTGAATGCCTCTGTGAAAGTTTTTCTCGTCCAACGGTGTAAATAAATGCATGTTCGCAACAATGTCGTGTGCTTGGATTGTTTGTTACTTAAAAAAATATATATGATTACAAAATATTCGTTTTATGTGTATATTCAATTTAATTCAACTATATATTGTGTTCGTATTATTCTAAACTATATGAATAACTTGTTTCAAAGTTAAACCTTCACAATGTGACTCGAGATCTGTTTTTAATTATATAACATGTATGTATATTGGAACAGTTTTATAATAATGACGTGTCTGTAGTTCGAGCTTGAGGACGCAGGGCGAGCATCACCTCGTACAACGGCACCAGCTGCGGAGGCAACTGTCACTATACCGTTACGTCGCTCTATCACTACCAGCCCTACGAACGTGACCACAAACGCCACCACCATCCCCACCACCGCTGCCAACGCTGCCACAATCACTAACCCCACCACCACAACAAGCATCATCAATGACGGAGTTAACAAGGATGATCTCCGGACTGGTTAGAATTATTTAATTATCAGTATATTTTTTTATGTTTATTGTTCTTTAGTCACCAAGTAAATACAAATGAAGACAAGATGCAGTATTATATGAACTGTATGATGTTGTAGTTATTATCGATCGGTTACTTTCTATTGATAATGAAAAAATTGTATCTCAGTTGGATATCAGCTGCGGTAATTTTCTTGTGATTTCGTTTGTGATCCCGATAACACATAATCAAGAACGACAGTGCAGATCTTAATGAAATGTTAAATATGAAACTCTTCGAGTCCCGAGTTATAGAGATGTATTATAATAAAATAATTTGTGAACAATTTATTTGTTATTTAGAAGAGGACAAGGAGCGTGAAAGCAGTTTGGAGAGCAAGTCGTCTTCGTCCCCGGCGAGCACTCAAGCGGCCTTGAACGTTATACAACGTAGGAGACGACCGAAGAGACGCTCCACCGGGGTCGGCCACGTTGACATGGACGTTAGTACACACATAATACATGTATTAATATGCGTATACTACTAAATATATTAACATGAATATGCTATACTATCAATATGCTAGCATATATGTACTACATAAAAATCTTTCAAAGAAAACAAAATAAATTGTACGAAAAAAACAATAAATCCCTATTCAGACAGTGTAGAGAAGAAAAAGAAACAAAATTTACAATATTGAGTTCAAATGCCACAAAACAGTTACATTTCGTCGTGCCGTTCTCATTCTATACAAGGTTTGGCAATTAATGTCAAGTTTCCTAACATAGTTACAGGAATATGGCCAATGAGTCAGTGCGTGGGTCCGTGCGTCTTCAAATATTATAAATAGATTATAAGTACATTATAAATATAAGTACATTTCCTAAAAGACGCAGATTATATTAATTTTAACATGTAATCTCGCGCACATCACCTTCCCTGCCCCTCAACTCTTGTTTAATAATTTATATACATATGTTATGAAATTGTTGATTTTGTTTTTGTTTTAGGACATAGTTAACGATCGCGGAGGGGGCGGGGAGGGCGATGGAGACACGGACAATGTACAGGTGAGTTGATATTGTATCTCGAAATATATCATCATACGTACGTATGAAGATTTATACGACAGCAAAAAAGAATGGAAACATTCAACACATTTTCGATTTTCAGGGTGGAATAATATTCACCTAGTAGCTGTCCTCTCCAGTTACTTCTTTGATAGAGTTGAATACCATACTATTAAACTGCGTGAATTTGGAAATTATTGCTTGTAATTATGTTTTTAACATAAAAGTCATGCCCTATTAACACTAATAGAAATTTAAATTAGAAAATGTAGAAATAAAAGTTCATAAATCCGTCATATTACGTTCCAGTGCCTTTAACACTTGCAGATTCGATTATTGCCCTCATCTATGGATTTTTAATTCTATATTATATAATTTTAATTTAAGGAAGTATTTTATAATTTTAAATTATTTTTTATTTTATAATAAATCGTTTACGAATTTTTCAAATAAAGTGTAAACAATATCCGTCCACACAATTTTTTAAATATATGATGAGAGTAGTATGATTTACTTTACCTCTATAAAAGGAAATTAAAATGAAGTGTGTTCTTTAAAATTATATTAAAAAAATGCATTTTTAAGGGGTTTTTAATTACTTATGTTTTATATTTTTATATCATATCAATATTTAATTTTTTTTAGTTCGTTCGCCTGCTTGTTCGAGCTTATATTAGGAACAAAAGAGAAGATTGAAATTTTCCTTGAACAGGAAGCGAGTTCTTAGGAAAACGTATAAGTGACGTTTGTAATCACAAAATGAACTGCGTGAAAAAAAAATTGTTTATAATAATTATGAAATTTAAAGACCGTAAACAAACATCGTTTGAACATACGTTGAATTCTATGTATAACATAAAATTACGATATAATGTATTTTTACATGAATTTTCATCAATATTTATATTTTATAAAAAAATGAACAGTGAAATTGCATAAGTATTTATATTACTGTCAGGGATAAAATGCACTATTTTTTGTCAGTGCACATGAATAAGTATTATATTCTTTGCCAAGTTTTTAATTCTCAAAAAGAATTATTTTCAAAATAAACTCCTGCGGTAAATTTAAGAATCCATTTAGCCGTCACTCTCCCGTCCTATAAATATAATGTTGAAACATAATATATTGCCCTCCGTCCAAATACAAAGACAATCATAGAGCGGGTCTTTGACTTGTTTTTTAAATATACGTCATTCGATTGTTTTATAGACCTCTACGTCAAGGTTCCATCTGTTCATATGTGAAACATCAGTAATAATGATCTTTATATATTTGTTACATAATTTCATATAACTATAAAATTCTGTTTTATAAACAGTGTAAATAAAATAAGGTTATAATTTTTTTATATCATGTTATTTATTGCATACACCGTTACTTATAGATCGTCTCGGCTCTGTGTTTGCTGTTGACGTAAGCAAAACAAAGAAGCGGGTGTATTTTCGTCCGTTACACAGGTCGCGTCCATGGTTGCCATATGACAAAATAATGTCGAAACATAAATTACACTACCTAGTGCGTGGGTTTTTTATTAACAAGATTATTGTATGCCGTTCATTTTATAACGACATGACCCTGTACACAATGACAGATATTGTTACTCTAGAAATGTATGTATTGTAGGAAACAAAAAAATATATATTTCGCTTCTAATATTTACTCGTTTCATATTTTAATCGATCTAAATGAAATTTAACAAATATCTTATGTTTGAATACCAATCTAAAAAGAAGTAATAACATTAAGTTCGTCTTATTTTTATACGAGAAATAAGTTCTAGATAACTCTTGATTTTTTATCGTCATACTCGTTTTCATATGAAATAGTTGAAATATTTCGAGCCCATCTTATAATTTTTTAGATCACATTAGCTTATTAAATATATGTATCAGCTTTATATAAGCTATACATACTTCCCAAACACTACAAAAACTATCAACATTTTTTTTAATTCACATTTAAAGCAGTGGGCAAGTTTTAAACATACAGACATTAAAATAGTAACTATTTAAAAATTCTGTTATAATATAGATCGATCGATGACTTATATACTTCCACTGATCGGTCTCTGGCATAGATCATAATGTATTTTCGCTACGTCTGCTTTTGCTGGCGTTTTTAAGCTCGATCTCTTGGAAATTAACACTACAATTTGCATACATCGCATAAATAAATGTAGTTTAAACAGACTTTTTATTTTTTTTTATTTATATCAATATATAACATTTATAATGTTCTATTCTACTATTCTACGTTACTGCTTAAATAAAAAAATAATTACTTGTTTTTAAAATATATCATTTTTGAAATTATCGGAACAACGGGAAATAAATAATAATTGTAGAGGTTTCAATAAACAGGTGACGTCTGTCGAAATAATGATTAGTAGTAGAAATCATCTGTCACTCATAAATATCGGAAGCATGTCAAATCTAAAATTATACATTTGGCTAATAGGTAATATTATTTATAATAATGATATTTACGGGAGGTTCTTGCTATAATTATGAAGTTTTACGTGTTGATCTTATTGTTTAGGTGCATCGAAATGATTTCTCTTTTATTACATCGGAATGCTGACCGATATAACGGTTTTTGTAACATGGTTTCGCAACTATTTTTGTGGATGTCGGATGCGTCGTTGAAAATTCCAGTCAACTACATTAGAGCTAAGTGAGTATTTGGGTCAGCGGAATTCTGAACCAGAGCTGCGTAAACTTGAAAATAGATAATATTTTTAGCAACGAAATACAAAAAATCTTCATTATAAGATTAAGAAAACTTTCACACATTTCTCGATATCTTATTCTGGTGTTTTTTATAATAATTTATAAAGTTTGTTTATTCAGGACTATTATGTTATATATATTAAATGTTTGTTTATGATGCTGTGTTTACGTTCTGTAATGTATGATGTTAATCGGTTTGAAAGCGGATGATTATTTTTAGAGTATGCGTACCTCCTATGAGCGGGGCGGGCGTACGCATTAGTGACAAAGGACGACCTTCGATACCTTAGCTGGTATTGATGGAAATCACTAATTACCCACCGACACGAACGATAATTATAGAAAAGTGTGTAACATTTATTTGTAATACGGTCGACGAGGCTAGGATTGTGTAGAACGTTTAATCTCACTCCTCGCGCATGCAAAATTTTCGTTATATTTACAGGTGATGAGTTCTCACGTGTTTGTTTGAATATATTTCTCGTCTGTTCACTTGTATACGTCACCCAAGTCTCGCTCACACGTATCTTTGAAACAGAGTTTTGTGTGGGAGTCTACAATATTTTCCCTCCGTGTTAGTATTGGTATATAAGACTTACTATAAAAACTGTCAGTGTGTTTTGAAACCGCGCTACGATCGCTCGCCATCTTCGTATGTTAACGTGCACATGGGATGTAAACGAAGATGAGTCGTAAACAGGACAGATACTCGTCGCGACCACGCAGCCTGACCAGCCACTATGGTTCCTCGCCGAGCGTTCTCGGTTCGATGCTCGGCGGACAATACAATTCATATTCGAACAGTTACTCAAATACATACAGTCCTGGGAACTATAGAAATTACAATCCATACACGGTTGGTTTAGGTCGACCGTCTAATGTGGGTATTTACGGTGGCACGAGCTCGGGATACGGCGGCGTGTATTTGAGTGGTGCTTCTTTGGGTTCGTTGAATTTAATGACACCTGTGTTGAAAAAATTGGATAAAAGACTGATCGCTAGTCAAAAAAACTTTAAACCTAAACCGGTGCCGTTGCCGGCAAAGGTTTCAGTAGAGCCTGTCGAAGAGCCACGTGAAACGGTGGCTCCCCCCGTCAGACCGGAGAGGAAATCCCGTTCAGCTAATAAGAACACTGTTCTGAATAAAGAAAGGTCGCGATCTCTCACCGCTCTCGACTCGGTTGATTCGCTGAATTCACGTTCGCTGAGCCTCAATTCTCTCGCCTCAGATGGATATTGCGTATGTCATGTTACTATATATAATGTTTACGTTACTGCAAACCCTAATCTATAGTAAAATGTTGTTTGAAGAAAGGTTTTAAGCATTTAGAGGAATCATTTACGATAAAGATAGGAATTTGCAAAATAATTCTTGTATGGTGTATCGAAAACACTAATAAATATAAACAATGACAGTTGTTCGTTTTACGCATTGACCTATTCAACTTATGTAAGAATAAGATGAGATCTTTGAATTTTATGATTTAATCTTAAATAGCAATATTTTATTATTTCCAGTCTGGTAGCGAGCGCACAGAAGACGGTGAGGAAACTGACTACAAGGTGTTGTATGAAGCGTCCCAGGTCGAGGTCCGCCGTCTGAGAGGACTTCTCTCCACGTCCGAGCAACAATTGAGAGACGCTCGTGCTACTATTACCAAGCTCACTCAAGTGGTATGATATATCGAAAGAATTTCTATTGATCTTCTACTACATACCTGTGCTTTTACCCTTTATATCACTGTTCTTAGATAAGTATGATACATTATCACGTCATAAGCAATATTGGCGTAGCGATTTCATAGCTTGAATTTTTTTTGTTTTAACTTATTGTGACTTATTAGTAATAATATATGAACAAATTTTTTGATTGTCTTGTATTAATGAACTCTGTAAAAGTATCATAAAACTAAAAATCATTTACGAAAACAAACATTATTAAGTGGGGATGTGGGTCTGTCGATGTATGTAAATAACTATTTTATAAGAGTCAGAGAATTTAGAACAAACATATAATTGTAAATGTAATAGCCGTACAAAATGATAACAGTACGCTTGGCTCGTGGCTACGGCCGTGACACTTGCTACTCTTGTTCATACTAGCCCCTATTAAAACATGTTCGACTAATACCCGCCCACCGGCCACTAATTATGTTCCCGGCGTATTGGCTCAAGACCGGTACTATTTATCCGCTCATCAGTAACATCTTGATGCGAATGTTCTGTGTGTGTTTAATATAATTAATTGGATGAATTAGCATCGACTTGTGACATTGCGAATTTAATATATCACGCTGTACGATTCGTTTGATTTATTTTGATCTTGATTATTTAACGTGTTGGTCAGTTAGCAATGAGACGCCAATGTAATGATTGATTGTTACAGAACCAAAATTCTTTGTCCGAGATCGAGAAGCGAGAAAAGAGAGCGATGGAGAGGAAACTGTCTGAGATGGAGGAGGAGCTGAGGGTAGGTTGATAATATAGCATGTGATGGCTTGTAATGACATAACACTATACAAACAAACACATACCGTTTATATATAATAAGTATTACATATAACATGTTGATATGACAGCTTCAGTATGTCCTCTATAAGCTGCGGGCCTGATGATGGCGTCGATCACGATACAATCACCACTTTAATGTTGATATTCGTTTTGTAGCAATTGCAAAAACTTAAAGCCGAGAACGAAAGGTTGAGGGCCGAAAACCGTGCCCTTACCCGGGTCGTCAGCAAATTGACCAACTCAGCCGCCAAATAGGTAAATGTGTTGGATTGAGCCTCTGCTAAGTGGCCACACTTTGCGGTGTAGTCGGGAACCAAAACTATAAGAATCGCATCTAAACATCGGTGTTGAAACTTGTACGTTTGTAATAATGACTTGAACATCAATCGATGTTAGGGTTTCAAAATAACAGTCACTATGGTCTTAAAGAAAAAAGACATTTATATATTTTGTAAAAAATTTATAATCGGAACAATTTTATGGTAATAAAAGACGATGAGAATCATTAGTTTTTTATCATATTATATATGTAATGTAATGTTTTCGACTCCGCCACTGTGTTCCACGAGACAATCGTAATATATTAACCGTTTTGTATGGCGAGCATGACTTGATAAGTGTTTAACAGAGATGCAGTACGTGCCATCACAGCCAGATACTGTTGTTATGCCATCATATATAGACGTAAAACTTAAATTAAATGATGGCTTATAATAACTTATCTGGGTATCGTTTTCGTGAAGTGTTGTCTAATTTATTGCATGTTTGTTCCCATCTAAAAACAAACATAACACTTCACATACAATCACATATTACCGAAGGAGTTCGGAGTTACATTCAATGTGGAGGCGAAAGTATATTCCATATTTGACTCAATAGTTATATGAAACAGAAAATATATGCTTATTCAATGTTTTGCAAAATGTATGCAATTAATGTTAATGGTACAGTCAGCTGTCAGCGTCAATACTATCAACAAATGTATCAAAAATCACTGATATCACATATGTTTATATTATAAAATATTAACGATATTTTATGTATTCAATGATCACACACCAATATGTACTTTGCATCATTCCTCTCATTATGGGCATGCTCACTCCCAAGCCAAATGTTCTGCAAACATCATACATTTAGTTAGAACTTCGACTAGTACATAGTTTGTGTTTAGTAATTCTTGTATGAAATTTCCTGTAGTTTTTTTTTTAATTATTATTATTATTTTATATTTGGTTCGTATTTTTTATTTAATCAATTAATTGATTCTGACTGTACATATTGAGTTTAAATTTATATATAGATAATTTGTATGTTCGTTTATCCTTAAAAATTCTGTAAATAATTAATTGAAGTTGCTTTATAGTATTGTATTAGACGATTCTGTCGATGTTGAATATCTTTAAAACTATTGTTGGGTAGTGTGCCAGTTTTGTATCTAGATGTATTGTTTTCAGTACCATCAAGCGCTTCAAGCGGAGAATCAGCGGCTGAAGGACGAGAACGGCGCACTTATCAGAGTGATCAGCAAGCTGTCCAAGTGAGGAACTGAGTAATTTCCTATACAGGTGTATATAACTCGGGAACCTTTATAAAATATCACATGATATACCCTATTCCGAGACAGACTATACTCTTATATGAAGTACCTTATTTATTTATTTTTCAGTATTTGTGTAAAATATTTATTTAATGATTTTTTTATCTAATTAGACAATGTTGAATAAATGACTTTCGTTTATTGACTGCGGTCTTTCTACAAAAAAATAAATAATATTTAAAAAAAAAAAACTAAAAAAAATACCGTTTTATAGCTAACCGAACTTAAAAATAGAAAATAATTTTCAATTACAAAGAAATTATTTTAATTCAGAGTAAAAAGCGTGGTGTGCATTTGACTACATTTCATGTCTTTAGACCCAGTTTCACTAATCAATGTAATATAAGTAACATCGTGTTAAGGCGTTTAATAATGCGTTGTTTATTTGTCATCGTAAGACGTAAATATTTTAACTGACATTTATAATTTTGACGGTTGGTAGTAAATGCTGTGATTAGACTAAACAAATATTGATTGGTGAAACTGGGTCTTACTCTCGTAGATAGTTACACTAGAATGTTTGTAACATTCTATATCAAGCACCCCACGATTTCTACTCAGAATTAAAATAATTGCTTTGTAATTAAAAATTATTTTCTATATTTTAGTTCGGTTGGCCATAAAAGCGTGTTTTTAAAACTATTATTTATTTTTAATTTTTTAGTTCGATTAATTTTAAATCAACATACAACCCAAGCTTATAGAAGCGTGCTAAAAAGCGTCGGGAAGGCAAACCCACAAAATTTTATATAATTATTTAATTATGACATTATAATTTTGACTTTGACATTATAAGTTTAATTAAGTTAAATTTAAACATGATGAGTATATTCATATATACATGTAATGAGAATATTTTTATTTTATTAATTTATGAACTATTTTTTTTATGGTATTGAATTATACGATATAAAAAATATATCGTCTGTTTATTTGATTGCTTTGTTTTGGAACAGGGTATGGAAGTAGCTTGTGGTAACTATCATCAGTTTGTTAATATTAAGTACACATTGTTGTAGTCCAAATACTTATTATGCAATCAGATGTACTTAATAGTATATTATTGTATTAGAACATTCGTATTTAACAGTCACGTTAGTGAGTGTATGATTGATGTCTTTATATGGAACTGTTCCCAACATAGTCCTTGTTTTTTGAAGTTTAATGTATTCCTAAATGATTAAGGTGTAAAGTAGGTTAACCATAAAAAAAATACGAAGGGCTCTAATACCCTATGATCTTATATATAATAATATATAAAATTTTAAAAATGTATCTTTTCAATTAATTGTTCATAAAGTTTTATTTATTAAAAGAACTAAGAATTTTAGTAATAAAAACCTTAATTCATATATTTACGTTTGTTTTTTATTTATATTTTTTCACCTATTTTCATTTAGATTAATCGCAAGATAGTTTTCACTTGCAAGGCAAATCCAAAAGTGCCTTAGTTATTGTGTTCCGCGTTGGTACGTGAAATCTATTTTAGAGCGTAATTGTGCTTGTAGTTAATGAAAAAAAAAAACTTCACTAGGAATTCGCACAAAACATCTTTCATACACTTGCTTCATCATTTTATTAAATGTTAACTGATGTAATATACAGTAATTGTGAAGAGGAATGGAAAATGATCCTCGTCATACACCTTCCAATCCTGTTCGCTGTTATTGTTAGTTCTGACATACGATATAGTGTTTACATGTGTGTAGAGTATGTATTCGATGAAATGTTTTTTAATATCATTATATTAATAGCATTCGACGAAACTATATTCGAAATACGAATGTGTATTGAAGTTTTAGATTGCTCTTGTATATATAAAATGATTTTTTAATCGTTCACTAGCAATGTCCTAACTTTTTATAGAATACAAGATTGTTTGTTACTTGTTCTACTGTAGATTTTTTTTATATAATCTATCTATAATGGACGGTTTTACCTAAACAGTAGTAGATTAATTTACATCAGTTTTTTTTGTTTTACGATGTATAGTTCAGTGGACCATGTTTTGTAAATAATTGTTTGAAAATGCCGTGTTGATAGTTATGTTAAAGTGTCTTGTAATCATTGTATGACGTAGATTTGTATAAAGTATTTAATAGTGGCTAGTGCTGTTAAATAAAAAGCTTAGGTTTTCATAATAAAATACATTAAATACATTTATTAACGAACACTTAGATGAACTAAAGTAAAAAAAATATTATTACCTATTTATACAAAAATACAACAAACACCGACTCTTCTAAACTTCGCCAAACATAGGAAGCTTACATTAAGATCACATTTTTAAAATAATGCAAATTTCTTGTGGTGCGATTCATATTTCTAAATTCTAATGTGACAAGGTATTGATAATAATAAAAATAAAATTGTCAGCGCCTACTATACTCCTATTCAATTTATATAATGTAGACCAATATTATTGTCGAATATTAAATAGATTTTATAATCTGTCCTATACTTAACTGAGACTTTTATATTACAACATTATATCACAATATTTTTTTTTGTTAATGTTCGTTGAGTATGAGAACTTCTTAAATTATTAATTATATAGTGAAGTTGTTAAATTACAATTGTCTTTCAAAATAATTATTTTATTTTTTAATAAACAATGATTTTTTTGTCTCATATATAAATTTTGAATGGATTTAATTAATTATTTAAATGTCACGTAGTTCAAACAGTGGTTTCTTTATAATGTAATGTAATTTAAGAAACAATACAAGTTGAAAAATAAACATTACAGAAATTATACTTGTTTTATTTCTATACCAAGATATTTATTTCCATCGTCAGATTCAATTTAGAATTAATTATAGTTAAAAGTAATGATGTTTACAAAACACTAACGATGAATGAAATATATAAGAAGGCATATTAGGTTTGAGCGAAACCAACCTTAGAGTTCTCACGAAAATATATATGAGAACTGTATAGCAATAGTAAACTACCATAAATATAAATATTCCATATAAATTTCAACTCTTTTTACATCTTTGGTTAATATCTAGTAAGGGTTGGTGATCACTATTATTGAACACTTTCAATCGGTATTTTTACAAATGTATAATTTATGTTAGTTATAAAAATATTAAAAGGTTTATAATGTAGTTATACATAAATAAAAGTACTACGGTTTTAGGGTTCTTGTATCAAATGACAAGATGAAATAGTCCGGTTTAGTAGTTACCTACAACAGAAATTAATATGAAAATATATTTCGATGTGTAATACTAGGCGATTGACCCCTGAAATATTTTGGATGTCTCAAATTTTTCAGAAGCTTGACATTTAGATAGAGAAAACCATCTTTCCACCAGCAAAACTTCAGCACTCCAAACAGTCTTAATACAATTTAAAATTATTTTTAAGCCCATAATACAGTTTTGATTCTTATCCAGGCACTCGAGATAGCGGACGGCTTATGGAAGAGGTGGATTAAATAATGTTATATGAAAACGTGTTCACCAATTATCTAACGTAATAAAACTAATGACATCTTACTGAATCGGGATCACTTCCTTTACTTCAACTATATTCTCTAAGGCAATCGCGAGCATCTTATGTTACGATATATTCAACGAACGGCTACTCCGTTGATGGTGACGACGGCGTTGGGGCCGGTGGGTTCTGGTTCGTATGCGGATTCGGTGTCACTGCGTCTGCCGTACGCGGAGTTCTCGGCTAAACTCTCGCCGTACGGTGAATCATACAGATTGTCCGTTACGTGGTCGTAAATATGCCGTCCGTTAGTATCGTGGAGAGTTGCGTAGCTCATTACGGCTGCGTTTTGGTCTTCTTTCCGTTCAGCTCCTTCTATATTTTCAGTGTTTTTGACTGGCGTTGCTTTACGTCTTCAATAAAATATAAAAGCATTATTAATACAAATGATTATTTTAGACTTAAAAGAGGTTTTTATCAGAAAATTTACTTACAGTCTTAAATAGATGACTCCGAGCAACATAAGCAAAAATAGAACAATACCGCAACCAACTCCAACACTGAGTGGCAGAGCGCCATTTTCAGCAGCTTCGTTCGTAATTAATTCGCACTTGGGTTCTTCTCCTGACCATTTGCCATCGTCTAAACATTTGCGAAGGAATGGTCCAACTCGCTGAAATTGCGGTAAGCAGTGATACTCTATAGAGCTGCCGAAGAGTGTCGAACTATTTGAAATAATCACTCTGCCGTTGTCTACAGTGCCGGGTGACTTGCAGTCGATCGCTGAAATTAAAAATACCTCGTTGATATTTTTATAATTTAAGTTAGCGTCACTTTCGAATGATTTCAAACAATACATAGAAAAATCATACGTATGCAAACAGGAGGCGCTCCGGCCCACTGCCCTTTCGGTAGACAAGTTCTAGTTTCATTTCCTTTAAGGCTGTATCCTCGTTCACAGCGGTAGTGCGCTTCGCCTCCAATGCTGAGAGTTGACGTCACAACCAATAAACCAATACTGCCCTTTATTTGTATTGATGGATCCACACAGGTTATTTCTATAACACACAAATGTAAGTCAAACCATATGTACATGTAAATTTAATTTGATAAAATAATACAAAAAATAAATGGTTATGTTAATAATAACGTTATGTTATCGTTTATGTTAATCTAAAAAAAAATAATAGGAAAGATTTAAAGAAAGAGAAAAAGAAATTCCTTAAAGAGCAAAAAGTGACATAAATGAAATTTTGATCCACATTTTTCAATGAACTTTTTAAATTGAAAATTTTGACTACAGCTTTGAGGAATCAGAAATTTTAATCGTCCATTATAAGTATTGGGCTAATAAGAAAAATATTAGATATAAATTTGATCAAGCCGACCAGCGATGACCGAGTCCCATATGTTTCATTATCATGATTTCCATATGCACTTAACGGGAGATAGGTTTTTACCTTTACATACAGGTGCTTCAGAACTCCAGGTTTCGTTATCTTGACACAATCGCCTTGAGACCCCGTCTAGTTGCCAATGTTCGTCGCATTCATACAAAGCTGCAGCTCCATAGTACGTCGCGTTTGTAGCCAATGTCACTTTGCCATTTTGTATGCGACCCGGATTGCCACAGTCAACGTCTAAAAATTTAATTAATTATACTTAAAATTGTAATAATTAGCAGTACAACTGTTAAATGTCCTGTTATTTGCTTACATTGACATTTAGGTCTGACTCCACTCCATTGTCCATTATCTTCACATGTTGATAGACTCTCGCCCACCACCTTGTACCCACGCTCACAGCGGTATTTTACCAAGGCACCGATTCTGTACGTGTTACCCTGTGTACTTGATCGTGTACGAATGAGCGTGCGTCCGTGCATGCGATCATTACCGGTTACGGACACAATGCTGTTTTCCGCTACTATTGGCTCTGGACATCTTATTTCTGAAAAAATTCATATAATTCACTTAATATATTTAAACCCACGATTTATTAAACATATCAACACATTTATGAATACTTTGGAAAATCAAGTTTGAAGAGTGATTTGTACAGAAGAGTCAGTGAAGTAGTAAAGAGGAACGAGTAATTCAGCAGCCTAAGAGGATTGCAATGGGAAAGGTCTAAATAGAAAGTGTACTCTATTTTAAAAAAACGCGCCCCCTAAGTTCATTTAATGTCTCCCAATCCTAGGGTTTCCTATTTAACTCAAGGCAGTCCTTTGAATATTGACTACTTGATTTCATAGTTTAGTTCTTAAAAAATCCCACGTTGCCTCACCAATAACAATTGCAATGAGTCTAAACGAATATGCTGTAAATTTTGGATCTGAATACAATTTTATTATCTACCTTAAAAGTAGGTTCTGTCTCATATTATTAAGTAATTTAATAAATAACTAAGAGCTGTATAAATGTGTGTGTAAATCTATACATTATATTCTACCTTCACATCTAGGTGACGAATCACTCCATTGAAAATCTTCAGTACATATCCTTCTTACTGGTCCGACTAGCCTGTAGTTAGTAGTACATGAGTATTGGATAATACTTCCTAAATGCGTGGTACCATTTAAAAGTTCCGCTGAACCATAGGGCAGAGGTGGCAATTTACCGCAGTCCACATCTTTAAAAACAATTCAAATTATTTAACTTAATAGAAAACAATATTGTTTTTTCAAGAGCAATTTTTACCACAATTTCGTTAGTTTATTGAGTAATTAAGTATATAGTTCACTACATCTTTTGAATGCTCCGTCTATGGCTTTAAATTGGAAATTACTACGTTCGAATAATATCTTTCTACTCACATTCACACTTAGGCGATTCTCCTGACCACTCTCCGTCAGGTTGACACGTGAGACTTGGTTCACCAATGAGTTTATGTCCCTTCTCACAATGAAAGTCAATGGTTGAGTGGACGTTGTAATCATATGCCTCCATATAACCACCAGTCGGCACCTCCGGGTCGGAACAACTTATCACTGTAATAATAATTGAGGTATTTTAATAAAACATACATATTATATATATATATGAATTTGTTACCTATACGATAATATTTCTATGAAAAATTGAATAAAATCTGTCACAATAGTAATATGTTATGATGCTAAATTATTAAACGATTGCCGTAAATATAACAGGGATATATTTAGAATATGGAAATTTGACATGCATAATATGCAAACTTGACCTATTTTGCTTTTCACATAATAGTATATAAGAATATTTTATGTCAATAAAAAATTCTTACAGGCATTTGATGTTTTACAAGATATTATTATAACGTACTTAGGAAAATTATTTAGCAAAATATACTTACATTCACAGGAAGGTATCTCATGCGACCATTTGCCATCACGATAGCATGTGAGTACTTCAGCTCCCGCCAACCAGTAATCGGGTTCGCAGGTGAATTGGGCTATCGAGCCGTAGGTAGTCGTGCCGTTCAATAGTCTGAAGGACCCTTTATGGACTTGTGCTGGAGTGCCGCAGTCGACATATTTACACGAAGGTGGGGTGCCGCCCCATGTTCCACCGAGATTACAAGTGATACTCTGAAAATTGTTATTTTTTGTAAACATAATTATTACAAAACTTATATTATAAAGGCCAATTAGTTCTTACTGGTGATCCAAAAAGAATAAATCCGTTCTGGCAAGTATAGGTTGCCAACGATCCTGCTTTGTGCCCACTAGTGGTGACCGTGGCCCCTGAGACTGGTGGGGGCTCTGGACACCAGTCAAACAGACACTTGGGTGCCTCTCCATCCCAAATTCCTTGATCCTTACACATTCGTTCAGCGTTACCCACCAGTGTGTAATTTTCTTTACATGAATAAATAGCTTTCGCTCCATATGTGGTGTGTCCATCTACTAAATCCACGGTACCATCTTGAATTGGAGTCAATCCACCGCAGTTAATGTCTATGGGAATTATAATTATGATTTTCATTGAGTTATCGTCGTGTATTTTTGTAATTGATAGATTGCATTCTTCAAAAAATATATTATTTTACTAGAATTTTGTAATGTAACTAACTTACATTTACAACTTGGTGCTGTTCCAGACCAAAACCCATCTTTTTTGCACTCTCTAGTTTTATCTCCAATCAGCATGTGACCTTGTGGACATTTATACCTTATCGAAGACCCTACATGGTAATCATTATCTTCAATTGTCGTGTTCAACAGTTTATCTGGACTTCCACAAGTAGGGGGCACTACAAATAAACAATAAATGTAATATTCAAATCATTTATGTCCTCAATAGGTAAATCTAGGCTCATGTAGAACATTACATAAGAATCGCTTTAATATTTTAATGATGCAACTTAATGAACAACGTACTCGTTTTAAAATATTCAGTTACGCTCTCTACAACACAGCAAATACATAGTATTAATTTAATGATATTGATCGCCGAGCGTAATCTTCTAGTTAAATAATTTAATATTGCTTTTCTTATTAAAATTTGCCCACAAACATGACTTTATTAACAAGAATTTATTAAAAATTCGATTATAGAAATAAAATAAAACCCACGGTCTTTAAAAACGTTTAAAAAAAAAGTGCACAACACAGTGATGTAAGAATTGTAGTATTTAATGTATTATGAGGAAATATATCCCTATTATGAGGAATATTTGAGGAAATATATCTAGAACAGATGGATAAGATGGTAGAGAAAATAATAATCTATTCTTAGTCTGAGATGACGATGCTAGTGCTTAAAAATATTTTCTCCAGAGAACTTTGTCAAACATATAGAATGCGTGACGTATATTTAATTGGTAATTATTTTCAAAACATTTCATGCAAAAAATGTCAAAGGGAGATGACGTTAATACTAAATAAGTGCTACGTTACATAACATTAATGTGGAAGCAACAAGATCAAAAAGATTTAATTGAAAAAGCTGTATAGATAGTTACTAAGATAGAAATGGCGTTGCAAGTGCAGAAACTGGTACGACAAAACATAACTTTTTAACATTACTAAGATACAGATGGCGTTGCTAAGGCTTAAGTTAAAAATGTTTTGTAGACCACTATTAGAATAGAGATGACGCTACTAGTAGTTTAGAACTTGTTAAGTAGGTGGATATAATATGTATGTCTGTATGGGATATGGATTTTGTTACTTTGTATCCCAAAAATTATCTAAAGGCATTTAATGAAACTTAGCAAAATTGAGACATTGGAATATCACATTCAAGAGTATTTATTGTCTAATATTCAGTTGTGTCATGTATATGTTTTAAATAATTACGAGTATTTCGTTTGAAAAATCAAAACACACTTAGTTATATAACAAAAAAAAATTGAATAGTTTGTAACAAACAAGGTTACTTTTAAAAAGCTATAGGTTACTAAATTATTAATCACATAGATATGGCGTTGCTAATAAAGAAACTTCTAATAAAATATTCGATAAAAAACTACTAATAAGATGTTACTACCGTGATAAAATAGACTGACTGATAAGACTGGTTAAAAAGTGGGATTGTATTTATGGATGCTATTACATAATAATGACTCCTTCGCAATGACGTCTAAAGACCTTAGGTTATTCCGAAATTCTTTAGAATTCCCGTAGGAACGGTGAATAACAATCGTATTTTATATAACGTGGCGCAGGCGACAGATGGCGCCACTAATTTGTTCTAATGCATTTCTTGTTTTGAAGCACTCATTTTATATCTTCGAATGCAAAAATTATCCTGCTTAAAAAAGTTTACAATACTTTTATGATATACCAATACTGCATAGATACTTGTTTTTATTTAAAATCCGCAAGAGACTTGTTGGTAATTAAGAGTGAAGTAGTTTTTTACCCTAAAAAAGACTTTACTAAATAAAATTCATAAGTTACAGTAAAAGAAATATAAAATACTAGAAGACCCGGCAAACTTCGTATCGCCCTACCTATAATCTAGAAATATCTGTTACGTTTTTTTTTACATTTTTGGAGTTTACCCATTAAAGCCATAAATCTCCGTGTTTTGAAGTGCGACAGAATGATTGACATATTAATTAGTTGTCAAATCTAATGTCAAAAAAAAAACGTTTGTATCAACAACTACTAATAAATTAAAAATTAATTAAAAAAACATTGTCCAGCGGACAAAATTGTGAATATAAACCATTCCCAGATCCACACACAAAAAATTTCATCAAAATCGGTCCAGTCGTTTGAAAGAAGTTCAGTGACATACACAGTCACAGAAGAATTATATATATAAAGATTATAAAAACACAACGGTGGAATTTAAATATGTCCTTAGGCTCTTAACTATGTAGTCCATATGTGGCTAGTTGCAACCTCAGCAAAGCAATGATGTATAATATACTATTATTGTTAGCTTGGGTAATCGCAATGCGTGGTTATTATAAAGCCATATTATTATCTTAAGCCACCTGCGTTGCATAATGATTCTCTAATCAACGACGTGTCAGGTTCGGCTAAATCTCGTTAGACTTAACAATATGGAGATAATAACATTGATCCCAACTGGATGTTATGTAACACACATACATAGTTACTACACACTATACATTAAATATGGGAAATATTTGAAATAGTATGTATATTATTTTTTCGTATGTAATAGTTCATATTTATTATTACATAAACATTGAGGCTATGTAAAATTAATGAAATTATTTAAAGTAATATTTAAGGTTTTGCAAAAAAAAAATATTTTTTAAACTTCTAAAGAGCTCATTAGCTGATTAACTTAGTAACCGTATTATTTAATTAGACATTGTTCTCCCTGTAATCTTAATAAAGCATCAAAATCAATAAAACACAGAATAAAACTTTTGGTGTTACGATCTTATATAAAAAATCAATTTAACAACAGATATACTCTGTACGCCTGTTCTATTGAAGCGCAATGATGATAAAACCATGTAGATCTCATTTAAAACTATCAGGAGTTTGAATTTTGATTATTATCTGTGCCTTGTAAGAATTCTGCATCAGATATGAAATTCGCTCATGCGGGAAATAATATTATAGATATGTACCTATTAAGGTGACACTCACGGTACTGGCAGATCCAGTGTAGGTAGTCCAGATTGCAGCCGACGTCGTTCCATAGCCAGGAGCGCCCACCATCAAGCACCACGCAGTTTTGTTCGCCGTTATAATTATTCGGCTGGTCCTTTCCCCACGTTGGCTTCGTAACAGTTTCTCCTGATAAATAAAAAATAAAGTCAACATTTCTACATACCGTTTGTATTTATCATATATATATATATATATATATATATATATATATATATATATATGACTCAATTTTTGTTTGCATGCATTTACATTAATGTGTTGAAATCGAAATCATAATTTGCCAGCGCAAAGTTTTACAAAGCTCCAACGGCACGTGTACCTGTATCGATCGTATCGGAACAGTGCAATGGAAGTAATTATAAAAGATCGGAAATCAAAGTTTTACAAACTGACACAGGACAAAAGAGATCAGTAGTAGTTCATAGAAAATAAAGACCCTCTTTCTTCTTATTACGAAGAGGAACGCAATAATAATCCAATTAAATTAATAATTGAATTAACAGATTATACTCTTTAATATTTTTAGTCTTGAAAAATAGGTACTATTTCTTAACATTATTTGAAAGAGCAAATTTGTGATATAAGAAACATGGACTTTGTCCTTACCGTCAACCCATTTCCAAGTTCTGGAAGTAAGACCAGGTTCCTTTTGAGCTCCGATCCAGACCAACAGAGTCTTTAAATTTGGCCTTCGCCTTTCTAACTCCTGAATTAGATAACTTGACGTAGCGCCCTATAAGAAATTTAACTTATAAGAATTTAATAGGTATGTAACGCCTCTTTGATTACAAAACTTTTTATCTTTTAACACCCAAAATAATATTTAAAACAAATGCATATCTCAAGTCCTAGCATGATTTTGCATTTGATGGGATATTAAGTGGTTTTAACTATCAGAATTAAAAACATCTGAAGTAAATGTGGTATGGTGTGTTTACCTGAAACCCATGTATTAAGTCTCCTCCATGTTCCTGACATTGTTTCCGCGCTTCCTCAAAAGATGCTCCCTTAGCTCCATTAAATTCGTAACAGTTTCGAGAAAAAGCAGCCAACTCAATATCTGCTGAGGCTCCAATCGGGGCGCATCGATCGTTTGAGAACTCTGATATAAAATCATACATAGTCATTTACATGGTATTTATTGTTAAAAATATAAACGAAAATAGTTGTAAGCTATTTAAACATGCTTTTTATCAATATGAAACTATTTAACATAGTTTTGAGTAGGGTAATAAATTATTATGATACGCTTTTCGGACTTTCTTATAGCATTCGTATGTTAAAAAATATAAAAATCGTCAGAGTAAGCTTCAATACACCGTCGAGTACCGGGAAGGCATACATGGTAAATGATAGTAGATTGAGTCATTACCTTCTGTGGTGAATACTTCTACTTCACATAAAGAAAGGGAGCTCTCTACTCCAACCAGTTGGAGAAAGACGTGCTGACCTATGAGGGGACGGGCGCAAGTGAACGTCTTCGTTATACCTTCGTCTGTAAAAAAATGTCACATAAATACCACTTGCAGGAATAATTAGTAAATTATTGGTTAGTACAAGTTTGCATAGTCAAACTAACAACGCAGCTTTTGCAGTATTTTGTGCATAAATCTTTGCATATACTTAATATTAATGTCGGTTATTGAATGAGTAACGAAAAAGGCTTCGTATATAATGTGACGCTGTAAACTTGTGATATGCATATTGAATCCTTTATTAATTCCTGATGACTAAATTTATAGTGTAAAACAACGCCTAATAGTTTATAAATATTGTATGAAAAAATATGTACTGAAAGTTACAAATTAAAATGTTATATAGTGAAAGTAGGACTATTTTGCTTAAAAAGTATTCATTGTTATAAACCCAATATATTAAATATCCTAATTAAAATTATGGCCTGTTTTAGCATTTATATAATCAAACTAAGTATGTATAATCAAACCACATTTCCAATTATTACTATTTATAAACTTTAAACATGTTTGTTGGTAAATAAATTCACTCAAAATTTGTTTGCTTTGATTTAAAGGTTGAATTTGTATTTGATAATATATTGGTCAATTACCTAAACCTGTTATATATTTCTCTTTACATAATTTGTCTTACCTCTTTTCAAAAACAAAGGACTCTATGTAACATTTTAATATTAAATAAAAGTTTTAATTTTGCCTTGTTCTCGTTTTAGCTACATATTAGTAGTGTAGGTTTGTTTGAAACATTATATTTATTTCGAAATGAAATATTACGAAACAAACTTCGTGTTGAATATTTTGCAGTTGAATTAATAGTTCTAATTACATATTCAGATACATTAAACTTATTTAAAAATAAAACTCAAAAAGGCGTGTTCATATGAAGATGTTGTTTTTAATTCTTGTACCCACAAAACATTATCAGATTCATCAAATATTAATTTTTTGTAATAGAAGTTACTTTTTGCTTGTGTCATATTTAGCAAGTATCAATGCCTACTACTAATTTGTTACTATAGGATGTAGTCCTATTGCGTTTCGTTTTATAAGGATTGAGTACATTCATTAATAAACATTGTTCTATAACAATCACACTTGTTTCGACCCGCGTATGAACAATAATTGTCGTCAATATTATGTAAACTAACCTTTATACTCTATCTCCGTATTTCAATTGTGTAAAACTTTTCATCTACAGACTAATATTTAGTACATAAAATATATTACTCAGTTTTATTTTGCTTCAACAACTCCCAACAAAGTTACGGCAATGAAATTAATTATGTTCATAGCCATAATTTTCAAGTAAGACATTCTAATATATGTCTGAATAAAATATTGTCCTGTATTTTATGCAATTATATACTTAAAATAAATAACGATAACGGAGGGAAGTACTTGTTATAAGTAGATTTGCTTTTAGTATTAAGATTCTTATTTTATTCTAAAATGATAATAGTCTAACCCCTCTCAGATCGAGTTCTAAGTTAGTAATAGATAGGGCTATGTTAATTCGAAACGATATACTATTTCCGACAAAATTTGAAGTGTTTTTTCATCTTTCACTATTTTACTTACAATGCGATTATCATGTAAACTCGAATAAGCGAAATAATTTTTGGTTAAAATTATTAACAATAACTGTATTAACAGTAATAATAATGATAATTTAAAAAATTAAACCACGACTAACTAGATATTTCAAGGTTATAACAAAAGTTTTTGTTTCTGTCGAAATAATTAAGACAGTTGTAATTGGATATTTTTTATTATCGTTGCTATGATATTAAATAAAACGTTATAATGTACTAGGGTCATAAGAACTTAGTATTCAAAAATATTAATACTATAGTTAATTACACATATCATACAATTGAAATTACTTGTCATGTTAGTCAGTAAATTAAAAAAAAATATTCACATTGTGCTTGAAATATAAATGACTTGAAAAATATGGCCCATGAATTCAACATACATAGATATTATTAAAGTTATTTATAGTCATCACTAGCCATGACGAATTGACAGGTGCCAGAAACGCAATCTCTGAATGTCAGGATTGTAAAATTTCACAGATTTCAAAGCGTTATTATGCATTGAATTCAATGTAATATTCACATATATCCAGAAAACCTTTAATGCGATATCATAAAATTAATAAGACTTATTTGTTATAACTATATGTAACCATGGTGTCGTCAAGATTGTTTAAGAAATGATTTATTATACTTCTGTAAATAGATAACTTAATTAAAAATGTTTATCTAATTAGTATTTCCATTTTGTATTTTATGTTTTGCTTGTAATTGTTAATTAAGAAAATAAACATTTAAAATTGTTGTTAGAAACACGGGAAAGTAAAGAAAAAAGTTTAGTAAATACGCCTTTAGCTTCCATTAGATTCATTAATGTAAAAGGTTTGATATCCCTAGTTGATTTTTTGCTCGGGGATGGCACGTGTTTCAATTCTATAGCTAGTTAATCTCTTTTATGTTGCAAATATTCCAGTGTCGAATATTCTAATATAAACATGAAACATGTATAGGAACACTTTTTTCAATTGTTTAAATAATAAACATATATTATTAAATAGATTTACGAGATAATAAGTGTCAAAATCATTTTTTGACGTTATTAGATGTTTTTACAAAATCTCAAAATTACTGGTCACATTTTTATTTTAAAACCAACTAGGTCATTTAATAAACGTTGTAGACAAGTGACTTGAAATGACTTGAGAATTGAAATCCTTTAGTTATTACAGAAGTGTCAAACAAATTTCTATTATAAAAGAAAATTGTTTGAGAAACTTATTTCAATATCAAACTCGACTCAATTAAACTAGTATTCTATGAACTAAGGAATGGGAATGACAAATACTATATTAAAATGAGATTATATAAACTATGATCAAAGTATAATACCTTATGGCATAACAAATCCATTATCTAGTAGAGCTATCTCCGTAAATTTTTTATCTACTTGCAAAACTTTTCTAACCCTGGAGAAAATGATGTCAATAAACATTAAAATAACAAATATTTAATCAACTAAAATCTTAAAAATGTTTTTTAGAAGTTGATACATACGCGTAATAAAAATGATTTAATTTGGTCCATAATTACCACATGACCTGATGATATAACAGCCATTTAAAAATTTTATAATTGTAGAAAATATATAATAACAATGAAGACGTCTTTCTCACGTTTTAAATAAAGTTAATTGGACAACGAAAACTTCTGAAGTGTTAATTAATATCGTATAACGTATAGCAGTGAATTACACAAGTTGTTTAACATTACATAAGTGATGCGTGATGCACACCGGCTGTTTTTACTAAACATTCGCTAAGCGAAGCCAATGCTCGTGTTGCATACACGAAAAGCTTTCTCGGATTGTGTTATTACAGTTTTTATACCAGACGTCATATGATTAAAATTAAACATTTCTTAGAGTAGAATAAGGTAGTATATATGAGACAAATACGTTAAAATGAACGTAAAATTTGTCTTTAGAAAGTTTAAGTAACATTTTGCAAATTATTTGTAAATACAGCAAAAATACTGTTTGTCATTTACGAATTATTTATTTTTCACCCACCTGAAAGTCTTAATGATGGTTATATTTTAAAACACTTTTTTTAATTAAAGATAAAAAAATAAGATCCTACAAAATAGATTTCTTCACAGAAATAAAAATAATAGCCAATAGCCATGATAGGAAATCTTTTTAATCATATTTTAATTTCGCACTCATAGAAGTATTACGAACGAGAAATGTTAATTAACTTTTGATATTTTTAGTCTAAATGAAATGAGAAAAACTTCTTGTTTCAAAAGTAAATACATATACATATATATAACAAATTTATAGATATGTTTAATTTAAATGACTCAGAAAAAATCGGTTTCACTAGTCAAACGTACGGTAGGTATGTATGTACGTACGTTGTCCTTCACTTGCAGTATTGATTACACCAACCCCAATATAGACGAATAAAGAGTGAACAGAGCTAACTGTTGATGTATGTTGTAAATCTCACTTACAATATTACTTAACTTATAATATAAGGGCAATAAAATTTTGTATGCAGCTTGCAGCTATATTACTTTAATAAATCGAAACAAACGTTTTATTTCATAACTCCCATGGGATGGGGAGCGAAGTCCCGGTATTAATCAGAACTCAATAAACATACATTGATAGGCGAATATGTTGTATTCGAGAAAACAGAAAAGTACTTGGAATTACAGTATACATGACTTTTATTAAGTTTCATTGCAGCCCCCAGGGAAAATCTCGGAATGAAAAATATTGCATATGCATTAAGAATTACCTCGAACCTATATCTACACTTACAAGAATCGCACTGATCACAAAGTTGTTATATCATTTTAATATAGAAAAATTAATCTTATAAGACCTGGACAACACTAAATAATATTTTTATTAAAGACCTTAGAAACAAATAAAGGGCAATATGAAAAAGTAAAATGACTAAGTTTCCACAAAAAATTTAGTGATCAGTGACTAGTCAATGTAATGTATGCGAGATTTACAGTATCCTTATTTTTTTTTATAAAATTCAATTAAAGTAATTGACCTGGTTTTGTTCGTTTAAAATACAATATTTTCCTAAAAGTTATTATTATTTATATAAGGCTTCTCGGAATCAGAAATGTAATAACGATATGGTTTATGTTCAGCGCTATTTATTATTTTTCCAGAAACTCAGGTATTCGCGTAATTATGTATCTATTTTGATGTTTCCAAGAGTTAATTAGTTACGGATCCTTTATTTCATTTTATAATTATAATAAATTAAATAGGTTGATATAAAAATCTTTAAATATATTTTCTTAGTTTATGTCAACGTTGATTTGAATTTTAAGCCCTTGGGGTATCTGCGTTGAGTTGACTGATGCATACCTCCAGCGTGTAAGACTAAAGGCAAACATCGATCTACTTTTAACAAGGTAGATATACGTAAATGACTATAGAGGTTAAATAGGAATATATCATAGAAAAGCTTGAGTACATCAGGGAAATGATTTAGAAAGAGGAAAGATTTATTTGTAAATCTAATTAGGTAGGTACTTATTTATTTGTCTCCAAGTGAATAGATCAGTTATTTAAAGCAAAGAGGAATAGAAACAGACGGATGTATGTCAGGGTTTCCACATTTGAGAGCATGTTAACCAAAGACTTTTTGAAACGCGTGTCCGGAATTTCCAATTGAAAATTATTTCTTTTTTTTTCAACTAAAAATTATATTATGCTTTACGTAGAAGACTTTGTAATATCTATTTTATGTTTTCGCTGAAATTAAAAGTAATTTATTCCTTTCTATTATTTTATTAAAAAATATATCTGCACTGCAATGATATTTTATGAAAATGATTTATTTAATTATATTATTAACAAGATATGCAGTGACATCATTATAATATACACATCATTAACCCCCTTACGGAATTCTCATCAGCGTGAGAGCTTGTGAACATGACGACACGATTTCCACTTTCTTTAGATTGATTGATACAAAACGCAACTATTCTGAATTAAAATGTAATGATACTTATGTTTTTTGTTGTGTACAAGAGGCTTATTATTATAGTATAAATGTATATTAACGCTTTGATTACACAAGTTATGAATTAAATAAAATATATAATTACAAATTTTCTTTACCTCACCTAATTACCCAGTAACAAATTAATCCATACATCTTAAACTTAAGACACTATTATTATAGTCTATTAAAATCTTTTCTATACTGAACAAGTAAAACGTCAAATTAAGAAAGGACATTACAATCGTTTACGTCAATGCCAAGGCTTAATAAAATAGTTGTAATACGGAGGCAGTTAAAGTATCCGACGTCTTATTCAAAGTAAAGTAGAGGGGACAAATTAGTTTTTAATGTTTCATTCGCAAATCGAATAGAGATTAAAGAAATGTTTTGCTCGCTTTCTTTATGTGCCTCGGGTTGCTAATTCGATTGTAACTTAGTAGTTTACCTTTTAAGTAGTAGAGTTTTTAGCTCAAAAATATTTTAATACCTATTAAGACAATTTCATTGTCTTATTTATAAGTAGATGCTAATTCTAAGATAACATTTGTTTGTGTGATATACTTTCTATAGGTTGGAAAGGTTATCAAATGATTTTTTATTCCTGTTCCATTAAATTTTAATATATTTTTTTATATCCCCAGTCCCCATCCATTTCGAAAAATAGCCAAAGCGTTCTTGACGACGACTTTTTATCTTCCACAATCTTAGCTTCAAGAATGAGGGAGTTGAATTTTTCCTTTATATAGGTAAAAATTTATGACATGATACTTTCTAAACTGTTTTCCCATTACATTCACAGTGTAATATGATTTTCATAAAGAACACTTTATTAACCTTGTTATTCTGACCCCATAATTTCTAATGCTTTCAATATCCTAGTGTTAAGCGTTTCCCACCTGCAGGCATAAAATTATTTACATAACTTGAGGAGTACATTTACTCACAAAACGCCTTCGAAATTACCTTAAAAAACTACTCGAGAGTAATTTACGTCACAACTTTAAAAAATTTCTGTGAATTTTGCCTTACAATTTAATTTCCTTGATATACGAAGTATATACGTCATATGCTTAGTGGTTTATTTCTTTAAAAGTCATTAATACATAATTGCAATAACACAATAAGCATATTATCACAAAATAAATAATATTATAGTATAAGATGCAGTTATCACAAACTAATTAAATTCATCCACGACGTTCGTATCGCTCCAAAGTTTCTTACGACCGAACAAGATCGACCAACTTTTCTCTGGACGGTAAAGTTTTTGCAGTTTGAGAATTTCGCCAGAGGGTGGATTTGATAAGTTTCTATAAATATCGATGAAACATAATAGTTTGTCTAATATGTAAAAAAAAAATAAGATATATAGAAATTTAAATAAAGTCTTAATTCACAATTGGGATTAGCGGATTAAGAAACCTGCTACATTGTTAAATTTTATAAATTTTTTTGTAATTAATTTTTAGCGTGTAAATGTTTTAATAACCGTTTAATTTTTATTATTAGAGGATGGAGAACATACTCTTGTAAACATAGTACAAGAATTAAATTAATACATTGTTTTCCTATGTACCATAGTCAACATATAGCTGAAGTGATAATGTATTATGACTTACTCTTATGGTGGGTTCTTGCGTATATAAATTCCAATGACTAATTTTACGCTGAACATATTATCATCAATAGTTAGCAAGACAACAGCAATACATAGTTTAACAGTAATTATAAAATTTTCCTTTTTATTAATACATATTTGATTTAGTGCAACTGTTACTATGAAAAATTGGGTCAGTAGTTCTTTATACATTTAAATATCTTTAGTTGTCATTTATCTTTGTCTTCTCTCTTACACAGGATTGCAAATTAGTTAAATGTTTTAGTAATAATGAACAAATAACAATATATCTTAATTAGATAGCAATATTGTTCTCTATTATCGAAAATATACATACCAATCGTGCCAGGAAACCATGCGCACAGTGGGTTTCTTTGTAAATCACTGCTGCTGTTGCCTACCCTGATTTCCAGATCTTGAAGGGGTTGGTGACCTGTAAATAAAACTATTGTAAATTCCGATGTACAGCAATAATGTACCTAAAGGCTGTTAAAATTGGTTTGCAATTTAATTTTTCTTAGTTTCATAATTTCAGTTTTTACTCGAATGTTTTTTCAAATAATCACATTCACAAAATAATTATTAAATCTATTCACACATGTCCTAGACACAATAATAGGTAATAATTAAAACTAATAATTGAAAGAGATTACTTCATTCATTCAAGAGATTCATTACTTGAGCAAGATTATTCTTTATCCCAATAAAGATAAAAGCTACGAGTATGACAGGCATTTTTTTCAATTAAAATAAAAGTCAATCATATCAGCTTCATTTGGATTAACGTATCCAATCAAGTTATTACTTTAACAAACTACACAATGCAAAAACTGTTACCTGCAGCTTATGTTGATCCGCAATCTGATTTGATATAAAATAACACTCCAGTAAAATTGCTATTGGCTTAAGCAAAACATTTTGTTACATTATGTAACAGTAATTGGTATTATTTATACAATCACTATTTTATTTGGAATAAACTTAAGTAACAACATTTATAGTAATTTTATGAACAAAAATATATATGTTAAAATCTATCGTCTTATCTGATTATAACTGGTTTTCAAAACAGGGTAAAATGGGACTTGAAATTTTTGCGGGATTTCAATAACAAAGATTTTGTTGTTGGTCTTACAAGAAATATTGGTTCCGATCGAAAATTTAGGGAATGAATTATTTACATCCACATAAAAATTGATTAAAATCTTTCTTGAAATAGGTAATTTAAAAGTATATCTATAAATCAATTCATGTCTTCGAAATAATCCGATGCTACTAATTTATCGAAATACAAGATATCAGTTTGGCTTTGGTCTCAATACAAACGTAACGAGATTGAAACACGTATCGATACAAACATCACACAGTTTCACAGGAGATGTTTGTTTGTCTGATAACATTAAGCTACGAGGGACGTTGATTGGTATCAACGAATACACTTATGTACTTGTAAACTTTATACAGTTTACAATTTCTTTTAAGTATAAACATGCATATTTCAAATCAGGAAACTATTTTATAAGAAAAGATTATGAAGGTAAAGAAGATAGATATCTTTGGAACCCCTCTAATTTAATATGGAAGTAAATTTTACAAGTTGCTTGTTATTTAATTCTTTGTTTTCCAAAAAAGTAGTTGGTAACGTGTAGATTACGTTAAAAGTCTAATGTAATTATTATTCACGTTAATATATTCCTTTCCGGCTTCTTCTCAGATAGATATGCATTGTGTCAAATTTATACTTAATTTATATTGCTATAATTTTACAACAGTATATATTGTGATTTTTCAACGGTATATATGTATTATTATTTTCTTTAATTGAAATGCAAAAATTAAACATTGATGTCGTTTTTATATTGTATTAAAATATTTAATTTTATAATTTTTCATTACCTATTTAATTCTGTAACGCTCATTACCTATTTAATAATATAACGGTTACGTAACGTTCAGAAAAGTCACAGTTCAATTATTAATATTATAACAAAATTTTAACTACATAGCGTTACAATTTAGAAACCGGGTGACGCTTTGTAATCGTCACTTGTATCGTATATGTTGCAGTGGTCACTCCTTACGACATTGCGCTGTTAACCGTGACGAATTACGAGCCAGCATAGGTAAATTAAGTGCATTTATGTGAAACTATATAATTGCCACAATAATGCAAAATCGCTCTGCCACTATTATCATAAGTTTTAATTTTCAATAAACACACATAGGTGGGTATTTAACATTAATTATGTTTAAAGAATACCGAACAAACGCTATAATGTATTGATTTATATCGTAGGGAATATAGTTCCAACTATAACTAAAATTGAAATGAAATTAACTGTTCCGCGTAAAATTGAATCGGAATTTTTCAGCAGAAACTGTTACATGTCTACGTCAAATTTTTTACTCGACTAACTATGCACGTGGAATCAATTATGAAAGTCAAAATTTTTGGATTTCCGAATAGTTATTAAAAGTTTATAATTGAATTAAAACCTATTGTGACGAATAAAATATTTATTATTATACAGGCTAAGTTAAATTTACATATTAATATTTTTATTCTCCACCTTCATGCTCACAAATGTTAATGTGCTGATATTCTCTAAACTATTTTATTTAAATTTAAATAACATTATGTAACTTTCTTCATATATTTTTTCTTTCTGATAATTAAATAAGATATTATCGTATGAATATGAATAAATAAGTACAGTATGAATCTTTATATCGAAATTATGATAGGCACGAGACTATTGTCATTACATACATTTTGAGACTAAGGTCAACTCGAAATTACAACAAAGGGATATCCATTGTCCAGCTATGTAGTATTGACGCTACGTCTAAAGTTTCTTAGTTTTGATATTCTAACAATAAAACGTAAGAGTCCTTGATACAAGCAGCACTTGTGAATAAAAACGACTAGTTCCTGCAAAATCTATTTACGCCGTTCTGATTTCTGACATTTATATTAACGTTAAAATTGTAATCCTATTTAACGAAGCACTTATAAATTGGAAAATTATAAAATTAGAGTGCTTTAACTGTTAAAGCGGAATTAGTACAGTATATATTTTAGTTTTATCCATGAAGAGCGTTTGTAGAAATAAGCTAAAGTAAGAACTTAATAATCTAAATTTCTGGAATCAGGTAAATTGAAATGATAACAATTTCATTAGAACTATTATTTTGTATTGTTACTCAAAATTCTAATAAAATAAAATTGTTTTCTAGAAAACAATGTATAGGAAATGAAAAATTAAGTTTAAAAGCATATTGTAATTTATAAAAGTTTTTACGCTTACCGCAACAGCCCCTTGTGGTGACTCTGACTACTTTGACGGCGTAGTGACGTAACAAGTCGACCTGCCACCAGGGTGAAGCCTCTCTTTGTGTTTCTGTGCATCTTTTGCCGTCGTGTTCGGTGGTCTTTTCACCATCATTGCCGTTGCTAGCGCTACCACCACGTACAGTGGTTGATTGATTTGCTGGTTTTCTGAAGGCAACGTTGGTTCCTAAGTGTAAAAATTTTGTTACACTCATTACACTTTTCTTTTATATTAACATTTGTTTCCACATTTGTGTGTCTTATACTGAATAAAAAAACAAATATATAAGATAAAATAATTTTATAAAAATGCCTTTATGTAGAAGAAGTATACTTAAAAATACATAAAACTTTTATTTTCAGATATACTTAAAGATTTATTATATCATATAATATTTTATCCGATGTTTCCATTACTTAACAGTTACCGCAATTACGGATAGACGAAATGAGTGTCTGTCACTTTGTAGTATTTCCGAAAATCATATTTTCATTTAAAATTGTACTCGCAAAAATCTAAATATTATTAAGTATATTTTATCAATAAATATGTATGTATGATATTACTTCAATTCTACACTTGAAAATGTTATATGTTCTGGTCTTACCACAAAATGGCGGTTCTGAAGTCCATTCACCCCTTAATGTACATTCTCTTTGATGTGCACCGAAAAGCTCGTAGCCGTCATCGCATTCATAGGTGGCCACTGTTCCCGGTACTATGTCAGTGTCTGAAGCCAAAGAAACCTTTGCATTCGGCGGCACAGCTGGGTGGCCACACCGTCTGTCGCCTAAAATAAAAAACACAATGAAACATACATTTAAATAAATGAAAAATATTTTCTAATGTACAGATATAATAGTTATAGGTAGTAAATTTCAATAAATATCGAACAAACAAATTAAGAAGATTCTTCTTTATTGCAAATTACTTTAAATGCTAACAATTTTTGACGTATTTATTTATACCATATCTTATATTTCATAGATTATATTGCTTTGAAAAGAGTAAGCAATACAATATTTAACATTTTTAAAGCAATAGATCTTCAAAAGAAACACTAAAGAAAGTATCACTATTATGTAACTTCAAATAGTTTAAAAACACTCATGACTTTCAATGTAACAATTTAGTATGCTGCTCGCTTACTGACGAGGCAAATGTAATAGATCGCGTAACATTTTGAAACCACACGGATATTATGATTTTGTAATGTTTTTATAGTATAGTAACATCCTATAAATAATAAAATCTTATCGTACACAAACCAATCAAGATTGCATAAATTTCCTTTAATAAAAATAAAGTTATTTCTTTAAGAGCATGTAGGAACTCTCTATGTTTGTAAAAAAAAACATTTATTTGCATCTACACGTAATTATGACTTAATAGCATATACTGTTTATTTACTTGCTTTGTAGCCTAGAAGATTAAAAATTAATTATGTTAAGTGTGAATGGGATATTTTTTCTGAATACCTTTCAATTGATGATATTTTCGTGATGAAAAATATCACAAATGAAATTTTTTAATACGTCTTTTATACGTAATTTGGAAACGGTCAAACTGTATTAAAAATTTCCAAATGACCAGTCATAAACATTTACATAGCAAACAGTTGAGCACTAAAGTAATATCCCAATGTACGGGATTAAATGAAAACCATTTGATACTAAACACCCACACAGTCAAAATAATTAAAAAGCTTTGAATGTTTGATATTCACCGAAAATATACATGTTATATATATATTTACCCTTTAGGATTAACCCGGAATTCTGCATATTGGTTTCTATAGAAATTGTTGAAATTTATATTACTTAACTAGTAGCCAGTACAGTATTCTGGCTTTTTTTAATTGAAATCCATTTATGTTTTTGAGGCTAGCGTTGGTTGCTGCTCTTCCGCTTTTAGATAATGCAACTGAGTAGTGCCTTCTTCTTAATAGTTTTCTTTTTTAAGTTTGGTTACTCCTTACTTTTTCACATTGTTTTATTTCAGATTGTGAAAATATATTTTTATACCAAAGTTCATACCTGTGTTATAATTTTACACGTGCGTAAAATCTCATATAGGAATATTCCCCTTTTGGATTAATACCGATTGCACTTCCTGAAAATTATTGTACCATATATAAATTTAAACCACTACTATTGAAACTCATGTTCATTTGAAATTGTTTTTAAACGCCGACGCAAAAATAGGTTCATTATAAATTTATCCTAGATATCTGTGTGTTTTTGTCCCTATGAGTGTCCGTGGCATTATAAATTTCAAACGGATTTTTTTTCTAGATTAGAGAGCAAATTCCATTGCACTGTCATTCATCTATATTTGGATGATATTTGTTCTTCACTCTAAGAAATCAGTTATTTCCTAAAATGATGTAAATCATTTTTGGCCTTTATTTACAAGATTACTACTTAATTACAAGTGGCTCACGCGTGATATTGAAATCGTTAAAAAAACAGTTATTTTGTATGGAGTTTTTAAAATGTAATAAAATTTTATTATGTTGAATAACATTATTGTACTTCATTTTATTATTTGTACGGAAAGAGTGTGTGATATAATACTGAGTTCTTCATTTCCTTCTGTCTCTCAGTTACTTACGCAATAGTTGTTGTCGAATGAGTGAAATTTTCATTGGTGATCTTTAATTAATAAAAAAAAAAATACAAAGAAATATTAAATTTGCGTTTAATCAAATTATGTTTTCTAATCGATAATACATAATATAGTGTCCACAGCAGTTGTCAAAAACAAATTATAACGTGCTATCACTTTTATGTCGAAATATCAATTAAATAATGTCATAGAACTTAAATGGAAATATCAAGTAAGGGACACTGGTCAAGTGTGTTTGGGCATTTGCTATCCAGGCACGCTTTGATGTTACAACAACATACTTGTCGAACAATTAATTTGTCTTCATTGCATACACGTGTTTCAGTCGGAATAATCAAATTATATCTAATCCATAAGGTACTTACAGTACGGACATAACAAGGAGATCCAGATTTAGAGTACATTTAAATAAACTTTTAATCTTAGTTATATTCAGTTTATAGAAAATAAAAGATTAAGTATAAACTGGAAATGATAGGTTGAAAGTTTTTTTTGGTCATATTTGGAAAGAGTGACGTCCGAATATCCTAACAGAATTTTGATTGAAGGTTCAAGTTTTATTTTTATTTAGAATCGTGTTGCGCGTGTAACAAACGTTGAGCTGTATTGACAAAAATGGAGAACCAATATAGCTGCATTTTATTTTTGTTAAACAAAATAACATTAACTAACCCAAAACTTAAGTACCTAATTGTAAAGAAAAGTGTTTAAATAGTAGTAACAACTAAAAACGTAGTAGTTTTTTTGTACAAATTCTTTATATAAATTAACAATTAAGACATAAAATAATACAAATGTATATTTTAATGGTTAATTTACAGAATTCCTAACTGCCTTTATAAATTCCTTAATACATATTTTTGTCTAGTAATATAATAAAGCATAAGAATTTGAACTGTTGTCATGGTATAAAACAATTCAGAAACTATTATTTAGTGTTTATTTTGTATCATCATTTACAATTTAGAGATAATAAAAATTGAATATAGCGAAAACTCTATGGAATAGTGATTGAAATCGAATAAACAGGATTAGCCCGTCGGCGTCATTGTGGCGTCCGAACAGAGGTTAAAGTATTTATTTCACCTATGTACATAAATTTATAATGATTCAATGTTACGTTAATGATTTCATATAGCGGGGAATGAAGTGGATAATACAAGGGAGAAAGTTATTTATTATGAAATTATCATATAACAAACCCATTAGAAACATTCCAAACAATTCTATTTATGGATTATCTTCCAGACGAATCCTAAAACAAAATTCAAAATAATACTATTATTTAAAATTATAATTAGGACATGCATATAAACTAATTTAAAACATAGCAATTTGCATTCTTCAATTCAATACTATTATAAAATATTTTATATCAAATAATAATAGTTTCTCACTTTAATGTTGTATTCATCTTGGTCGTCTGCATTGAACAGTTAATTTTTACCGCTACAGAAAAGCTTTTAATATCAAATAAGACCGCTCGCGAAGCAGTGAAAAGGAATACGTTACTTAAACATCATTACGTACTATCGTATGTACTCGACCATTACGATTTGGATTACACCTACATATGTCTTAATTGTTAGATATTAAGTGAAACTTTATCAAAAAAGTATAACTAAAACTAGCTGCAAGCTACCCGTGTAAGTCCAAACAACTGCTGAATATAATATACTGCAACAAAAAAAAACTAAAATTGTATTATTCAAAGGAAAACACAAATATTACGTATAGGAAAAAATCATAGGGTTCACCATTAAAAAGTTTATAAGACAACATTTTTCTTTTTTTATTTTATTATTTAGTAATATCTTATAACGGTATTTTATTAACAGTTTAATATCACTATCGTCTAAGCTCAAGTTTTTAACATCAAAATCGATGCCAATTCGTTCACGTTTCTGACCACAACCCACTAACCCGACGAATTTGACACCGTTCGTTGATGTTATTTTATTTTGATGATACTGCGAAACCTTGAAATTATGTTATATAATAAATAATTACGGCTTATATTTGGACTCATTAATTACAATATTATTTGATATGGTTTAAGGTCAGCGGGCTATGAATATAATTACCATTCATATATGTATATGATTTTACTAGTGAATGTTTCAAGGTAAATAACTATAGTCCTACTTTATTTTTTGGTTTATAATACGCTTATTTAAGATCTGTTTAAGAGTTATAATGTAAGACACTAAAAACATTTTGTTGCAAAATAGTCTGCGCTGATAAATCTTATGTATCTGTGGCCACTGAGGCGAATCTGTGCTAGTGACTGTTGTCGTCCCTGTGATCAAGGACGTAATGGGTGTCAGGTTTCTGTCATTTGAGTTATATTTGATTTTTTGTCATAGCTGTTTTTGTAGACAATGAGTTTACATTTTGTCTGTACAGCTAAGAAGAGTAGTTGTTTAACTAATTATAGCTTTTTAATCATTTTACAGAAACTTTTTAATTTGACGTGGTTAAATGTATCCCTTATGAAGACCATGGATATAAGTAAGGCGGCCAACTTTCCGAAAACTGAATGCGGGACGTAACCTTTCGTGAATGGGGGGGGGGGGGGGGGGGTGGTTAGGGATTGTGAATGTCATAAAAATCTTCGCAACTGTCCATATTAAATTCAAGTACTCTCTTAAGAAAGAAAACGAGATTATCGCGGGCGCGATGCACTTGTCCATATTATAGGTAACCTGTGTTCCTACACTGTTGGCCGTGGTATGGGTGTTGTGTAGAAGTGTCGTAGAAAAATAGGGATGCGGGACATGCGGGACGCATACAACGTTTTGCGGGACTATTTTACGAATAATTTCAAAGCGGGACTTCGTCTAGGTCTAATTGCGGGACGGTCCCGCAGAATGCGGGACGGTTGGCCGCCTTAGATATAAGCTATCACTATAAAAAATCCAGGCGTTTCGGAAATTATCTCATATAAAAAGAAAAGGGCTAAGATTAGTTCTATTTCACTTCTAAAGTCCCCATGACTAGATTATTAGCCTCTTTTATGGTAGAAATTCTATCTCTATATTTTAGTAAATTTAGTATATGAAATTATGTTTGTTCTATTTCATAGATTAAAAAAAATTGACGCACTATTTTAAGTCTTACATTATTAGTATTCTACACGAACATCTCAGCTATTTAGTACAG